ATTGAGACTTAGACACATTGGTGTTTCTGTAAGGCCCCAGCAGGTTTGCCTCATCATCTTGACTTTAAGCAGCGTCACATTTGGCACCGATGTGTGCATGTGCGTGTGTCTGCGTATGTCTTTCAGTCTGTCCATCTGTCCAGCTGTCCATCTGTCCTTACCCAGTTCTCCTGCAGATTTGATATCAATGTTGTCGTAGCCGCTACCGATGCGCACAATGATACGTAGAGCTTTGAACTTCTCCAGGTCTTCCTTCATCAGAGTGATTGTGTGGTACATCAGAGCTCCAACCGCCTCATTCAACACCTGCACACAGACAAATAATAACAATGAAAAAAACTATTATTATTCTATTATGATTCTTGAAATTTATTTTCAATTGAACAGATGGTACCCTGTCTGTTTTGGTCCAATGAACTAAGTAGGTCAAAGTAATTTTGTTAGTTTTGTTAAAAAAAAATAAAAAAAACTCCACAAAATTACATAAAGACAATTCTTTCTGAAACCAAAACATACCCAAAATGCAGTTCGTAAAAATGTCGTCACTATCGGACCAAAATGTTGCAAGGTTTGAAATCGGAATTTACTGTGTTGCAGTAACATGTATATATGTATGTTAGGGAATATGGCTTGCTTTGTAGAGCATGAGGGATAAGGTAAAAAAAAAAGCTTTTGCTTCAGCTTACTTCCATTTTTTGTAACCTTACTCTAATATAAATGGATCAAAAACATCTGCATGTGGCTGTACATCTGTCTTTTAATAAACAAAGGGAATAGGAACAAGTCATTGGCACATGTTTATGTTGGTGTCAGTACAGAGGGAAAAAAAATGGACACAGTTCACTGAGTTCCCATGAGGACTTTTTGTGTAAGCACAATTTATATTATTCTCATTTCCTGTTTTTAAATATTTCTTCTTACACCAAAACTCAGCCTTTCCTGAATTTTATCAGCTTTTGTCAACACAGGAAACGAGATAAGCTTTCGTCACACCAGGCTTATAAAAGTGACTAATATTAGGAGCAGTCTTCTGTTCCTGCTGTTCCTTTCATTAGGATGACAAGCTATTGTTTTCATTGACAGTGATATTTTACACAGTCAAAGATAATGAGGCCAGTATAAAAGAAAAAAAATGACCGCATGAAAACCTGTATTTTTTTACCCCTTATTTTTTATTGTGTGAGAGCAGCTGACAGTGACATGTAGTTCAGTTACAATAAGGAAAAGTCCTTTAATTAAACAGTGGGGTGGCTGTTCAATAGAGCAGGACCGAGGGAGTAAGATGAGAGATGGTGAGTGAAAAAAAGGGAAGAGAGCCATCTGTTTCTCCCACGCTGTGGCCTACTGAGCGCGCTCAGAGTGTGCGTGGCACAAGCCCAGAACAAGACGTAACCCTGCCAGACACACAAACCCATTTACAGTCTGCAGCTACTGTGGCGAGAGCTGAGCCTGACCCACATTTGAAGTTTGCTCAAGGGACTTACTGTTTTGTTTTTTTTTCTTTCACCGTCCACTTATTTGACCAACTCTCTCCTAGAATTGCTCTGGTTGTAAATCAATTTCTTTTCATGCTGAAGGCCGAAGAGCTACTCTGTCAATAAGGCTGTTGTTCTCAAGGACTGCTTGTGGAGTAAAAGATGAGAATATACAAATAGATACCTTGAAATGCCAAGGACATTGTCCTATTTTCATCATGGAATAATTTATTCAATCATAACGTCTGTCAAATATAGCCATCTTTTAAAATAACACAATTTCCCTTTTTGTATGAACACAGTATATGCCAGCAAAATGTTGAGTAAAGCCCACCAGCGTGGGACGTTTTGGAAAGACACCTTGGGGTCACCAACTATATTTGTCAGAGGCCTTGAATGTTTTGGAAAGACACCTAGATTATTTTAAATCCAGTTGTGGGATGGTAAGGCAGGCCAGATTGGGCTTGTGGGCCACCAGTTGATAAACACTGCCTTAGATAGAGGGATGGTTGGATGGATGGATGGATGAATGGATGGGTGGATGGATGGATGGATGGATGGATGGATGGATGGATGAATGGATGGGTGGATGGATGGATGGATGGATAGATGGATGGATCTATCCATCCATGGATGGATGGATGAATCTATCCATCCATTTCCTTTGGGAAATTTAGGACCTTAGATCATAAAGGCGATGTGTTCAAGTGCCACTGATGTTTTTTCTTCTTCTATCCGTCATGTATCTGTTCATCAACCACAAGCTAAACATTATGCTGTCCTACCTTCTCGTGGATCTCTTGGGTGGACTGAGCATCGCAGAAAGCCACAGTTGCTACGTCTTTGAGGATGGGCATTTCTACGGTGCAGTCACGTCCGTCCAGCAGCGCCACCAGGGGGCGCGGATGCATGGGCCCATTCATGATAGGTGGCCTGATGCCTGTGAAAACAATACAAGAAAGTAGGAGTCAGGCAAAAAAAGTAAAAACAAAGAAAAATCCATCATATTGCTGATGAACGTATTGATTAGTTAATCAATCACTGACTGATCCTTGTAGTCTGATGTTGAACTTCTATTGTACTCACATCTACACTGTCAGCACACACCCTTTTGTTATTGAAATGTTCAGTGGGAAACCTGCAGCTGCCACTGAGGCCCTGCTTCTTCTGCATCCCATAATGGTTCTGCTCTAGACTGATGCAGTTGCTATGGAGACTGTAAAAGGGAGGACGAGAGAAAAGGAGCAGTTCCCAGTGCAGCTACGATTCAAAGCTGTTTTCCTCCTTATGACTGTTTATCGTTTCAGGTTAATTATCTCTCGGTTGTAAAGGAAATCTGCTGACACATCCAACACTAACTGCGTCAAAGATTGATGAGGTGGGGAGTTAAGTTACAGAAGCTTTGGAGGAAGTAGTTCACCTGCTAATAGTAGGGCGTTCCCACATTTCAGGATGTAACCCTGTAGTAAAGTAAAAAACCCCGATCATGTTAGTGTTTTGTACGTCACTCTGTTTGCACAGTTTTTATTGCGTTGCCACAGTCGATGCACTGCTTACGCTGTGCAATAAAAGACAAAGAAAGCACTGGTTTTCAGGCCAAAAAACAGTTGAGTCTGCAGCTGTAGATTACATTTCAATTACTCACTTATCCAGCACATAGTGCGTGCATTGATAAATTTCCTAGCCGGAAACGGCTAAAGTGAACATGTGCATCAATCCCTTCACTATTAACATAATATACAGTAGATGAAGAAAAAATTATAATCCATTGCTCTGATCTAGATCAGATGTTAATAGTGTAGATTGTTGTAAGATCTTAAATCCAGCTAGGACTCGTCCTGTATTTGGGATTATGAGAATTCAAAATAATGTGAATGGTAGATTTTGAATTTTGTGTGAAATATTAGAGCCACTACTTTCAGATTTCAAGATAATACCAAGATAGCTTTTGTTCAATCTGTACAATAGTAAACTATGTATTTCTTTATTTTTACAATACAGCAGTTCCTCGGTTTACAATGTCCTCGACCTGGGGCGTTAAAACAAAATTCACATGGGAACTAGTTGGCGACGGAGCGGGCGAATATGTCGTTACGCAGCACCGTACTCTGAAAATAGCTTTGTTTACATTTGTCTGTTGTACACCACACGTTGGATTGTGCTAGATTCACTTCCTTTCATTTGTGCTGTGACATTGGTACTTACGTATGTGCAGAATGTCGCGCCATAAGTTGAGGCTCCCTTTTGCAGGATAGTTTGCATAAATTAACTGTAAGTTCATTTTACATACTCCACTTAAGAGGCCTATTATATGTTATTTTAGCATCCTGATAGTGAGCCATAGTCTCTTTTTAGAATGAAGGTTAGGACTATGTCAGACCTGTCCAAATGCTGCAAGTAGACTAACAGTCAAACAGTAGACAGGACTGATGTAGTGTTGCAAGAAGCTGTCAAAAAATGTAACATATCAAAGAGACAAAGCTTTGAATTCAGTCAACACCTGTACGGACGACTTGGTTCTCAGTCCCTGAGCTCAGCTGATTTACATAACACTCACAACGACACGCTGAGCTGAACCTTGAAACTGCAGTACTGTAACGAGGAATCACATCATCTGAATTCTAATTATTCTTATTTGGTTTCCCTTCCATTTGCTGCAGTGAAAGTGTAACTGGAAAATGCACTGATTAGAAACCATAATTAAATTTACACGCATTATAGGAAAAATGTAAAGCATTTGTGAAAACAGTTGGTAATGATTGAACATTGTTCAGGATCTGTATAGATTATTGTCAAAGATTGCCTACTGCTTATCAAACCCACTCACTCTCGGCTCTGTCTTCGTCTCACTGTCTTCAGATTACAGTGTGAAACCTGATCTGATCAAGCAGCCACACTGGTGGAGTATAAGACCACTGGAGTGAAACTTAAATCCCGCTCACAGTGCCTTGTGTGGCCTGGTAAAACATTAGCTTTCTGTAATAGCATTTTGCCAGGAGGCCATTGCACTTAGACATCAATACAAAATCGATGGTGCATTGCTGAGAAATTGGAATTTCACAAGAACACAGGGTGCGGTGAGGCTTCAACACTGCTCCTATTGTAGTTCACATGTAATCGTAAATGGAACGCTTGCGTGCAGCTACTGCACTGTGCAGTTTTTATGCTCTAAAAATCATCTTCTGCTTCTGGAGATACAAGTATGCAAAGTGTGACCGGCGAATGGGTTTGTGAGAGAAACCTCTTTGAAAATGTTTCCCTACGATAACAAAACCCCGAAACTCCATTCAGTCGAGTCACTTCTGCAGTGAAGTGGCATTTCTGAAAAGCACCAGAGACATTTCAGCAGCTCACACTTGGTAGGAGTGAGGGAGGAAATAGCTCTCATTCCAGCTCCAACATGACCTTGGAAAGACCCGCTCACACTCTGACTGCTGACTAGTGCCGTACTATACGATAAAACAGCCGTCTGTTCTCCCTCTGACACACACAGAAACCTGATCCAATCCACTCGCTCTTTTCCCGTTCTTAATTAAACAAAGTCAACAGGGGGCGTAATCCCCTTGTCTTCTCATATTCTTTATTTCCTTATTTTCCCATGAGATCAAACACAATAAATTCTCATAATATTTAATAATTGCCCACGCTGTCATCACGGCTCTAAACCAATCAGCTGTGAGGTCACGTCTGTCATTATCATGTGATATAAACAACATTTAATCATCGGTTTTTAAAGTACCGCTGTATTCATTTGTCAGGACGCAGACTCACTCTGCAGCTTGTGTCCTCCAGTTGTTGTTTTACTTTGTGATGGATTCGATCGAATGAGAGAAAGGAAAAAAAAAATACACTGAGCACAATATTTAATAAGATACAAAAAACTAGCTTAAACAGGAGAAACATGTTTTATTAGTTCTGATTGGAAATGCAGTGAGAAAGAAAAATGCCTTCACATCTGTTTAAACTGGTATTTAGAGACAAAAGAAAACAAAAAAACTTAGGCAGTGAACCAGTGGGAAAAGACCAACAGCCGTGGCAGCATGCAGCTGTTACTGACTAATTCACAACAACTGCTGGACATTTGTCTCAGAGGAACAACATCGTGTCTTCACACTGACACAGGGCAGCTTTTCCACGTGTGTCTTCAAAAAAGGTCGTATAGCGTAATCATGCCAAAATTAGTAGACAATACCTAAAAACAGTAGTCAATATCAGTTAAAAATAATAATCTATTAAATTGAATTATTAATGAACTTAACTTAAATATTGCATGTTAGTAAATTTACCTTAAATCAGTTTTATCATATTGAGTGTTTATATATAATTATTATTTTGTGTGTCTTAATTGTAGTTCAGTTTTTTTTAAAAAAGGTAATTTTCATTGAATCATCTTAATGCACATAATAATTAAGTATTTTGTTTTTTTAATAACTGAATAGATTTGTATAAATTATAAGTGTTTTGTTATGGTATTTGTAAAGACCTCTGTGACCAACTCTTCAGATGCATTCAGGATCAAAACCCATACTGAACACGACATTTTCAGTCAATGCCAGACCAACCCACTCTGCTAACAGCTGCTTTTCTTTCTTTTCTTTTTTTCGTTTTGGAAGAAGGTCAGATTTCTTGAATAAAATTTTGGTTCCACCGTCTTTTCTGCTGAACTGGAAATGACCCCATAGATGGTGTGTGTGGTTTCTTTTCTGCAGCAGTGTTTGTATTTTTTTAGGACAGAAGGGATGAGCAAAGCTGTTCTGTCGGCACCTGTGATCAGTCAGCAACCTGCCGTGGAACCGCAGCCGGGGCTGATTTACACTGGTGGTCTGTGATGTGGCAGGCAGAGACCCGAAGTGGTTAAAAGGAACTAATTTGGCTGCATCTTTTACTGCCTCTGCTAGGTTCCTCTTCTTTTATCTCACTTACAGATCTTGATCTTTCTGTTTAGTGACATTTCGCGGGCTGCCTCAATCTTCATTTCCTGCCCTGTCTCTTTAGAAGAAGAAGAATTAATAGCAACCTAACTGTGACTAAAATAGAGGCATTTGATGACTGCTTTATACTGTACTTTCCCTTTTGTAATGTCTTGACATTTCTATACGCTGGTTTGCAAAGAACATGGTTCAAGTGAGAACCTTCATTTTTAAAACATCGGTTGATACCAATTTGTTTTTTGTGGTTTTTGTTAGTGCTTGAGAAAGTTTAGTTACAAGCAATCAAATAACAAAACAAAGGTACCTGAACACAGTAAAACTCGCCCAGCAACCACATCAGCACATTTTCAAAAAACAAAACACTGCATCAGCAAGTGTGTTCACGCATGAAAACCCAGCGTTTGAGTCAATTCTGTTTGATTACTGAAGCTTAACGTTTCTGAACTTGAAGCCATAACTAAGACAAAGGTGACTTCAAACACAGTGCAGGTTATTTATGTTTTAAATTTAATTTCTTTATCCATCTCTAATGCTTTAATTAGTGTTGGCATCCCTGCCGTTGTTTGTTTGTGTCTCTGTTCTTCAAGCCTCACAACCCTTTCGAGGGAGCGACTTGTGAACACCACCAATACACACCAGTAACTGCACAAGGCAACACACACTCACACAGCGTCACAGTTAAATTCACAAATACACACACGCCCTGCCCTACCCATATCCACAGGATTACAGGTGCATACACAAAACACCAGTACATGCAGGCAGACACGGATAACAAACTGATATATGACACCTGCATGTTCTTACACTTGGAATAGATCACACAAACACACATTTGAACAAACACACACTCACTATGAAAAACATACTCACTGTATCAGAAAACAAATTCTGGTTTGTCAGCTTTAGCTCCACTTTTCAACTTAAAAGTTGTTTTATTTTTGTTTTGAAATTTCATCAATTTTTTGTTGAAATGCATATAAGTGTGTCATTTAGGACAGGAGTTGACAAACTGTTTCGCTCACTGGCCAAAATGAGTTTCAAAAACATTTGACTGGCGATCAGTTGGATATAGAATGCTAGGTGAAATAATATGAAAAAAATGTACAAAAATAAACCTAAACCAAACATTTGTCGCATCAACGGAAACTACAGTCAGTTCCTTGTAATGCATGAAACAGAAGGATTAACATCAGTCTGTACCATTCCTTATACCAGTGTTTGGCAGGCCGGATTAGAAAGCCCAGCGGCCCATATATGGCCCTCAGGCCTTAGTTTGCCCAGATCTGTTTTAGAGCGTTAAAGCCAGAGGAACTAAATATTACTTTACTGTTACAGAGAGCATGAAACGTTACTCAGGAATGCTTTAGTAAAACCACTACGAACAGCATCAGTCACACACACACCCTTTCATGACCACACCACATGTATCAGTTAAATGAAAGTTGATTTTGTTGAATGGTGCACTGTGTTCCAGCTCAGTGATGACTCCGAACAAACTTGCCACATGTCATGTTATTAATCTTTTCAACAGGCGCTTGTGAACTGAATTACAGCCTGTTTTGTAAAAGATGGTTCTGGTATTAGTCTGGTATGTCTAGAACATTGTCTCAACAACTTTGTTTGATCGGTTCTGATTTTTAAGGTAAAAAGAAAAAGTACAGCATATGACGTTTGCTTGATTAACAGGACGACAAGGTGCTGGTTAAATTTGATCATTTTGGATTTTTGGGGGGATTTTAAGCCAGATGGCAGTGCCCTTCATGATTAGGTCTGTGGTTTTAACCAGTGTTTTTACACTGACTCACAACATTTCTAACTTGTTCTAACTGCCTTTTCAATCCATATAATACAATATCAAATCATAATATTTGCATTTGTTAATAAAAATCTAGAAACGTGCTGATAAATATGAAATCAAAAAAATATAATTTTAATGTTGTTGCCCAAATAAAATGTCATTTCTGGCCTACATGTCAGACTGTAGACTTTTCTGAATTTCATGGGCAGTAATTATCTGTTCCTGTCTAATTTTATCACAGCTCACCTTCAGATGTTGCCTCGAAACCATCACATGTTCCATTGCAGGCTGCCGTTTCAGCAGTAGGCACAGGCATGGTCTTCTCTTTACTCGGCACAAAAGACTGTTCTTTTCAACAGCTGCTCAACGACAGCAGTGTCTGTGCTGAGCACCTCTAACAGTTCTAACTGCTGTCAGTTCAACCTGTCTGTGGGTCTGTTTTTATATCAGGCCTCATTCAAATGCTGGGCAAAAAGAGATCAGTAGGAAAAGATATGATCTATCACATGAAAATTAAAGAATTAGAAACTGGCCCAATATTTTATCCTGTATCACTGTGGCAGATTATAAGTTTGTACTGGGTACCAGATTCAAAATTGTAAAAAAAAATCAAGTCAAATATTGTCAGGAAATGTTAAGAATTCTTACAGGTTTTTTTTTAGAGACTAAAGAAAAACAGGTTATTTTTAACCTTGGCTTATTGTTAGACAAAATAAATATATATCAACTAGTCACAGAGTTCTAATATTATTATTAATTCTGATATTATTATTCTTATTATTGCACATTTACTCTACTGTGATTTGTAATTTGTAATTCTTACTAACTGACTAACTAGTCTGTGGCTTCACAGATTTCATCAGCATGTCTCACACTCTCATACCCCCCATCCACACACACACACACACATTCTATGAATGCCTTCTTCCTTAGCTGCTCCTGCACTCCTGGTCACATCATACCACTGCCAGTGTCATCTCCAGCTGTAGTCATCGATGAGATGCTCATCCGCACAGGTCACTGTGTCATTAATATGCATGCCTAACTGTATATGTACTGTTGACCCAGTAGCCAAGAGATTACATCTACCCTGTCTAGAAATGCAGGTACCAAGGACCGGTCGGACGGTATAGTCGTTACTGCTGACCAGTAATTCTACGCCATTGTTGAAGTATAATTACATTTTTCAAAATAAAACATCTTTTAGACTTTATTCTGTTGGTATCAGAGTCTGAATGAACTATTGTTTTGAAACACTGCCAGATTATCCTTGAATGAAAAAATTAAAGGGATATGACTAGATTTTTTTTTTGAAGTAAATGAGTAAAACTGTAGTACATTTTTTCACTGTGTCCCACTGCCGCCCGGTACCAAATGACCTACAGACCAGCACCAAGGCTGGGGACCCTTGTTTTAAAACACCCCCTAAACTCCACATTTAATAGAACGAGGTTCTATGGTGGGTTGTTTGGGGTCTAATATGTAGAGACATATCGCTTTGTTTGATTGGTCAGCTTTCAGAAGTAGACCAAAAAACTACATTCTCTGTTTATAACGGAATATTGTACATAGTACTGTACATAGTTTACTGTCATCTTAGCTCTGGTTTATTGTGTTTCCCACTGTCGTTCCTACACTATCTACTTCGACGTGCTGCTGCGTTTTATTCCTCTTAACTAACAGCGCTTCCTGGTGACGGTGGGTTGTGGCTGTCTGAGGTTGACAACATGTCACAACAGGAGCAGTTTCCTGCGTTTCATCTTTTTGCATTAGAAGGAGGCCTAACCTCCTGGTGGGAAACTGCCTGCAGCGAGGAAGCACGCTGACATTGTTCTTTAACGCTGTTTGTAAGACTGTTCTGTAGATTCATATTCACTTGTCAAGTAAGCCAAATACTGATTTTTTTTTACTAGACGTTTATCCAGTGAGTCTGATTTTACGATAAATCATGTAAATGATAGATGGGTTTTTTTTCCAGTGATCTAGATCATACACGGGCAACACGTGGCCCCCAGGGCCGATCTGACCTTTTGAACAAGTTTATCCAGCCCTCCTAGAAATCGACCTCCTTTCGATAATACATTTTTGGTGACGTGAAGATTAACTTAATTAAGATGAATTCACCTGTTTTGTCACTAACAGCTCATTTTCACATTTCTGCTTCGTTGTCTGGTAACACACTGTGCCAAAGTGAACGAACAGCACATGCTCCCGTTGTGAAAGGAGGTGCTGCTGGAAAAGCTGCGTTTTTGGTTGTGTGTTGAACCCCACAGGATTTCCTGGGTAGCTTACTAACAACCTCCTAGGTGGGTGTCTGCGAGGCACTTGTTCAAATATATGAAGCATGATGTGCAGACAGAGACAGTCACAGTAGATCAGCAGCACTATTGTGTAAGTGGTGTGATCAGGTTTCAAAGAGTGCTGGAATCTCAACTTTGCTGCTTTTTAAGGCATCTTGGGTTCAGTTGAGTCGCTAGGGTTGTTTGCTAGCAGCAAAAATGACCAAGAACTGTCAAAGACTTTCATTCTGACTGGGTACAAATGATGTAAGGTGAGCTCAGAATCCTCTCTTACTACTTCAGACAGTATGTGGTTTACGTACTCAGGATTTTAGCCCGTAAATGAACAAAATTACATTAAAGAAAAGTGACGGCCAAATGATAACGTCTTTTCTTTTACCATTCGTAGATTATTCCTTAGCTTAACTGCAGCACAGTAAACTATTGGAAAGAGGTTCTGACAGAAACCAAAGAGGGAGATTCAGAATCTTCCAGTAGTTCTACCAGTGTACCATGCTGGACGCCCTCTTACCCTAATGTCCTCCAAACAAATGAAACTCCTGCCTGCCCACCGTCCACCACTGATTTTTAGAAGCACATAAATTGATCTGTTTTGGTTGGAGTGAATCATTCTGAAGGATCTTTTGAAGATTATGATTCATGTTTTTTTCCACCTCTGTCAGTAGGGGAAAATACTGCCCATTCTTGATGTCCAGTTGGTCCTTATAAGGAAATCAGAAATGACTCCACAGTCACACTTCAGAGGACCTCTGCCTCCTCCATCAATCGATCAGCAGAAGCGAAAAATCCGTTTCCCAGCTTCACAAAACCTGATCAGATCATTATCACCATTATTGACGACTGCTGAAAAGAGGACCGACCCTCCCCGGTGGTCATTACTGTGACCTTGGAGCTACTCCAGCCCTCGGGTGGTATAATCTAGGTAGGACGGTGAGGGTGGTGGTAATTGATGTGTTGTAAGAGCGGCAACTTTACTCTCTGATCTCCCCGAGACACATTGCCTGCAACAGCTTGTTGGTGACATCACAGTATATGGTTTCATTTTTGGGGGGGCGAAGCAACCTTCACGTATGAAAATAAGAATTACCAAAGAAATGTCATGTGGAGTGAATAATCATTTATAATAACTCCCACCTCCTATTTCCGCTTTTCCTCCACCCACCAAAGAACATTCTTTCTCTCTTCTTCTTCTCCTTCTCCTTCTTCTTCTTCTTCAAAAACAGCCTTGATCTAATTATTCTAGAATCGTCTGTACATCTATCACCTGTGTGTGAGTACAGCTGTGCGCATACACCAGAACATGTGTGGATTGTGTGCGAGCGTGCGTCCGTGTCATGTGTATGTACAGCGTGAAATACGCACAGTGACACAATGAAAGGGAAATATGTGTCATGTCCTTCCAGCCCTCGAAGGAGAGACAGAATCTATTCCTGTCCCCACAAATGGAGGTGTTCAAGTAGCATTCAATAATGGCAGAGATTTGCCTCTTCTATCAAACACACACACACATACACACACACACACATCCTCTATTACACATGTACAGAGCGGTAGAGAAAAGACTAATCATTGTTGTGTGTAGAGAAGGAGAGCGAGCAAGGGAGAGAGAGAGAGAGCATGAATCTGTGTAATAATAAAAATATCTCATGGACTAAGAGAAGAATTTAAAAAAAAGAAGAGAAGGAGTCAGAAGAGACAGAGAAAAGGGGAGAGGGGGGAGGGGAGGATGAAGGCAGAATAATGTACACTGACTTCACAAATATTGCACACACACATGCACGCACACACGTACACACGTACACACACACACAGAGAGAGAGAGAGAGAGAGAGAGAGAGAGACATGAACACACAGTTGCCTACTGTTTACCTAGAGGCATGCCTTTGTTGAGCAGATGTGAGCTTCCCATGGTGTGTTCTGTTCCCGGCCGGCCAACAGCACAAACACACACAGACCTGCAGGCTTCACACAGCAGACATGAACAGGAATCCACTCAGCATATGGCGGCTGTGGCCAGCTACCTCGCTTCCCTTAGTCCTTCTCCCAGCCCCTTAGTGACAAGCATACACATGTGCTCCCCCTCTGCTCTCCCTCTCCCTCTCTCTCTCTCGCTCTCTTTCTCTCTCTCTTTCCCCTCCCTTCTCGTCCCCTTTTACTCACTGCTCTCTCTATCTGTCTTACCCCTCCCTTCTTTCCCTGCCGCCGTCTCTAGCAACCTCCCTCCCCTCCCTTTTTCACTTTCTATTACAGCAAATCTTTGCCCTGTCTTCCTTTCTTTCTTTTCTTTTCCTTTCCATCTCCCCCTCCCTCTGTGAGTGTGCCTGCTACCAAATCAGATCTGACCACTGTAGAATTTATTTTTGATTTTGCTGTAGAGAAACAAGAAATGGAATGAGTATGTGTATGTGTCAGTGTGTGTAAGTCTGCATGTGTGTGTGTGCAGGAAGGGGAGGAGCCAACATGGGCCAAAATTCATCTTTTGTTTCCTATAAGACAACAGGGACGGGAGGGAAAATAGATTATGCAATGACTCGGCTGCAGTGAGAGCAGAAAAACTTGTTCTTAAACATGGGAAACATATTCTAAATTCTAAAAAAAAACACACCATTGTAACCGTGGTATATATATATATATATATATTGTAACATTTTATGAAGAACTTTTTTGGTGTAACCTGTGTTACACAATAATTTCACTGTAATTGTGTGTGTGGAAAAAATGACTAAAACTTTACAGCCCATATGTAGGCGTTTTTTTTTTTTTTTAAATGATATCAGTAAAATCAATTTTTTAAAATCCCTGAAATCAGAAACTATCGGAGATAGGACTGTTGTTGAGCTCCAGACTCTGCTTCTTTTGTTGACTGATTCTAAAACCTTTAGAGGAATTTAATTTACAATATGTTCAAGTGCAAAGTGAACATTTTACTACTTATTGCATTTTAATGAAGCGTACTAGCTTTTGTTGAAGTAAGGGTTGTACTTCTATTACACGCTCAGGTGTAAACACAGACCTCTCTACGGTTAAGTTCTGTCCAAAGGGCCACATTATAAGCTAATGGAAACGACAGTGTATGATTTACCAGTTCACTTTCCTGTTATCTGTATGTCTTACGTTAGATTTCAATAGAAATGAAATTTCAATGGAAGTGTCAAACAAGAATCTCACATCTTTGTTTTTCAAGCTGTTTTGTGGGAGGTCTTTCACAGGAGGTTCACAGTTCTTTAATATGTGCTGGAACAGGAAGAGGAAGTTTTATGGCACTTTGTTTTTAGCTTCTTCAGTTACAAATGAGAGAACTAATTTGTCAAGATATCAGATTTAAATTTTAAAGGGAAACTATTCTAGTACAGTATGAACAGTCTATGTCTGCGATAAAATTCTGATTCTAGATAAGCTACCTGGTTGGCCCGTTAGCCATGAAGCAGATCCACTCTTACGCTGTCAATAAATAAAAGAGGGAAGGGATGGGCCTGATGGCCTTTTTTTAAAAGAGGGAAGGGATGGGCCTGATGGAACTTCAAGTTTTTTAAGTTTTAGTTAATGTTGCTTTTTTGTGTGTTTGTGTTGTCTGGCTCCTACTTATATTGCTTGCTTTTAAGGTTTAAGGTTTTTAAGTGCTTATATTAATCTCATTTTTAGTTTCAGCAAAATTCCAGCTAAACTAAAAAATAAAATATTGTCTCCTAAGGCATTTGTTGATGCAGCTCTGGTACAGCATCTTTTTTTTTTCTTCCTTTTTTTAAATTGCCCAAAAATCTTTGTTTGTGTTACTGAGCTACGGTCGTATTTCTGAAGTGTAGCAGAGTACAGGTCGGCATCTGGGTGTGTTTATCAGTTAGTCATTTTAAGCTTGTCGTTAGCTGTGCTGGCGCAATCTTCTCAACATCTTTTCAGTCTTGCTCAGCTCCTTTTGATGTGAAATCACTGTCATTCCAACCCACACTATCAACAGCCTCAGATGTTTCTCTAACTACTACTGCCTGTTATATTTTATTGAAAAATACAATACATACTACTTACTATTTACATTTCCCTTTAAAAAAAAACAAAAACATATATGCACATGTACCAGTCACATATACACATATAAAAATGAAAATAAAACTAAATTAAATTCCAGAGCTCATGTTAAAAATAACAAACAATGGCCACCCACCCTACCACCTACAAATTTCTGATTATTTATGCAAATTAAACTGTGCAACTGCAACAGCCACACATTCAATATGGTAGTAGCTCCAGATGAGTAAAATAGGAAATAAAAGGTTGCCATTTGTGGAAAATTTTGACTTTGCATCCTCTCAACCTGTGTTTATTTTCTTAAGTTTAAAAAAGGTAACATCTCCCAGAAAACAGAGTAATTCCAATGCAACAATAAGAAACGTCTTGTTTGGGGGTCAGGAATCCCAAATAAAGCAATCAGAGGGTGAAGTTTACCCCATTTACCCCAAGAACAGTGGACATTATAGTAAGTTCTACACGTTTCTAATTCGCCATTGACATTGTCACCTTGTCAATTGGAAAACTTTTGCACAAGTTACAAAATCTCCCATACTGCAAGGTATTCTGTTTGTCACATCTTCCTCAATGACAGGAAGACTGCTCTTTTAATGTCTGTCAGCACCATAATTGAGTTTCTGCTAAATAGCACTGTCACTGTGCAGCAAAACACCATTATTGGCTGGTCAGCAAACGTCAGTTACTTTAATCAGTGTGTACACCATGAACGATTACACACTGAAGATAAATGACATCAGAGCCACAACATGTTCTTTTTGTGAAACAACAACCACTTCGATCACTAATGACAGCTAATCACTGCTGATGTCTTTATAGACTTTGGTCTTGACTTGAATGTCATATTAGCTTAGCAACTGCATTGTTGTCATATGTCATCATATTAACGTCACATATATTTATAATTACAGTGTATATATTGTGAAATAATATACGAGTAATATATATATAAGTCGTATATTATATAATATAATATATATTATAATATAACTATTATAATAACAGTTTTGCTGGAGATATTTAAATATATATATATATATAACCTTGCCCACTAGGGTGTTCAATCTGGCCTGCTTAATGAATTCGAAAAATAAAAAAATACACAAACATTTCATGTTCAGGATATTATTTGTAATATTATATTTAATTAAATATGAATCAATACTACTACTACTACTACTACTAATAATAATAATAATAATAATAATAATAATAATAATAATAATAATAATAATAATAATAATAATAATAATAATAATAATAATAATAATAATAATAATAATAATAATAATAATAATAATAATAATAATAATAATAATAATAATAATAATAATAATAATAATAATAATAATAATAATAATAATAATAATAATAATAATAATAATAATAATAATAATAATAATAATAATAAATATCTACTATACTTGTACTTCTTGGCATGAAAACAAAGATTGACTTATTAAGATTGACTTGAGAAAATTGACTTATTGTAATTTATGATTTATTGTGTTATGATTGTACTGGTCCAGCCCACATGACATCTAGGTTGTATGCAGCCTGTGAACTAAAATGAGTTTGACACCCCTGCCCTAGACATTCCTCCAGTCCATAAGAGGGTCATATGTTCACACTCACATTGCCCATATTGCTCATTGCTGCCTTGTTCAATGTGTTTTGAACAACATAGTTTAGAATATTTTTGTTTGCAGACAGTGGCCCATATACACTGATGACAGCTAATGTTCTGATCAGTCTGACAAGTACACAGTGTTGGTGCAGTGGCAGTATTGCTTATGGTGTCATCATCTTACATAAACCAGATCAGAGGAAACATTTTCTTCTTTTCTTTTTTGAAGGGCTAATTTGTAAGTGTCATCAGATTTCTATAGGAATAAAAGACTTGCTTTAATCTTGATCTATTAGATCGGTTGATTAAAAAAAAAATCTGTTAGTTGGATCTCTGTGGATTTTCTCAGGCAGAAATGCATCCGTATATGGATGATTCAAGAACACCCAGTTTCACGGTGCAATTTGCATTACAATTACCCGATGATTTTATTTCTTTTCCAAACCAAATCCAAACGGACAACCTGGACTGGACATTGTGAGGAGCTGCAGACACATTTATCTTATTGACTAGACAGATGGCAGCATCACAGCAGCCACCTTTTACACACAAACCGAGGGGGGAAATGAGGGAGGCTTTGAATAAGTGATTCTAAATAAGGATGAGGAGGGAGTGAGATGATTGTTGTGGATACAAAAAGAAGTGGTAAAGACAGTGATCACAGGAGGTGAAGAACATGTCCCTAATACATGTTAGATTTTGTCAGTGTAAAATTTATGGATAAAACATTGTAGCTGCTGATCACTGAAACTGTGGAGATGAAAGGTGAGACTGAGAGAGAGAAAAAGAGAGAGAGAGAGAGAGAGAGATTAACAAGAAAGAACACTGTTGTGTCAATGGTCTTTTATGTGTTTGATGTGTATCAAACACCCTCTCCTCGTCGTCCCCACCCACTCCTCTCTCCTCTTCTTCAATTTCTTTTTAACTCTATCTCCCCCATCTTTCCAAGCCTTACCCTGTCTCTCCTTGCTCTGCCTTCCCATTTATCTTCCCCTCACACCTCCCCTGTCTGCTTTAATTCTCCCTCTCCTCCTCATCTCTCTTTACACCTCGCTCTACCCCTCACATGTCCCCGTCCTGCTTTGTGTCTCCCACCCTCCTCAATCTCTGCCACAATCTCCTTCGCACTCCATCACCCCCTTACTCTCATTACTACATCTATTTTTTTTCTTCTTTCTCCTCACTTTCCCCCCCCCCTCCCCCCCCCCCCCCCCCCCCCTCTCCTCCTTCCCCTCCTCCTCCAAGCCCTTCTCCTTGCTGTAGTCACTGCAGCGTGTCAAATGGAGCAGCTCCTTCTTAGCAGATCCACCGTGTGGAGGCATGAAGAACAGCAGTCAGAGCACACGGCTACCAACTGACAGGCCTTATCGAGAATGACAGCCATCCAGAGCTACCACACACACACACACACACACACACACACTTCATCACACAGACCCATGCTCTGACATGCACAAAGGAACACACATCTGCACACTAGAGTATAATTACACAGGCAGCACAAGTGGTGAAAATAATACAGTTAAAACAAAGGCAACATCAACATACAAAAAGATAAAATACCAACCAAAGCAGGAACACAGCTGACACAACTACACTACAGGAGGCAGACACTGGAGGAACCAGTGATCTGATCTAAAAATCACTGCAGAATGGAGAATCGAACCCACGTGTAGGAGAGGAGGGAGTGGATCAGATCAGCAGGAGAACTGGAAAAGGAGGAGCAGGTGTGTGGAATGAGGAAGGGTGGATGATCTGCAGGAATCCATTTGTGGTGAAACATAGTGATAATAATGCTGGTGGGAAAAAAGAGGAAGAAAATTGTTCCAGAATGTTCAAGAATAAAAAAGAAGTTGAATTAGCCAATTAAATGTTTGCTCATGAGGAGTGTCACCCATTATCAGGTCAAGACATGCAAAAAAAAAAAAAGAGACGCGATGGGTGGAAAAGCTAGAAAACTTTTTGTAAATTCTTTTTAATGCTTTTTAAATACTCTGTTAATCCCATAAGGGAAACCACCGTGTGTCTTTATCCCATATGTTAAACAATCCAGGGATTAACACTGTACAATTATATCCTCTGATCACAACATCCTCCTTTTACCAATGCTTTAACGTTGATGACATCCACTTCAAAATAAGCCTGGTTGCAACTCACAGGCTACCTTGGAAATGTCATTTTGGTATGTGGTTCCTCTGGGGATCGAACCCAGGACCTTCTGCAGGTAAGGCAGGTGTGATAACAGCTACTACAAGTACAGTATAAGAGGCTAATTAATGGACTAATTGAAAAACAGCAGACTCACTACCAGACTCACAAATGCACTAATTTCTTCATTATTCTTCATTGAAATATTTAGACACCTCCTCCTGTCTCCACATACTTCAAAAACATAACCAAGGCTGCCCTCGCTGTCGATGTTCTGTTACTGAATCACATCAACACACAAGCTCCACACAGGAAGTGTTGAAATCACGCTGGCAAAAATATGTCACAGCCCTTGCATCACCCTTTACTCACCCACTTAGCTACAGGGCCATGTGGGCGGTGGTGGTAGTCGCACGGTGGTGCCAGCCAATCAGCACAGCCTAATGCTGGGTTGTGGCCAATGGCAGTGTGGCTGGGAGGGGATGCCCTTACTCTCTATTCACACAAAGGAAATGAGGCCATGGTATGAAATGAGTGCTTAGGTGGTTCTCTTGTCCATATTACCTTTTCTGTGTGTGGGGGGTGCATACTGGGGTAATTTGTATTTGTACACCTGCACATAATTATTTTTTTGTATATTATTAATTTTTACTTCCTAAATAAAAAAAGCTTGTTTAACACAAAGAATTACATTTTCTGGAGTGGCTCTATGATTTATTGAAATATATGTGTATATTCTGGTTTGTGATTTTTCTGATAAAATGTGAATTTAAAAATAATAATAATAATTTAATTTAATAAAATAATTTAATTATTTGATAATAATAACAAATAATAAATTATTCTTTTTAATGTCCACTTATCCTTTGAACTTTACTTACCCAGTATTTCAGAAACAAATAATAGTAATTCTAGCATCTATCTTCAGTGCTGACACCGTGCCACTAGATGGCGGTGGTGAGCGCTGAGGCCATTCTAAGCTGGTGGAGAGAAAAAAAATACACAAACAACAACCACAAGAAAACCATAAAACCAAGATGGCGGTACAAGAGACAGCTTCTCAACTGTCCATGGCTCTTAAAGTGCAAGAATATCCTACCCTAAAGGTAAATAACCACTGTAACTGACAGATATCTTTTCTGTATCTTTCCCTCTATTACCTAAGCACAACAATAGCGTCGTGACAGTTTAACAACGATGTTTAAATCCTGGGAATAGTAAAATTGACAGGGAGGCTAACGTTGACTGGGTCAGCTTAGCCTAGAGTTAGCGTCTACTATCAAAATGAGTGTTGAGCAAACACTAAAAGCAAAATATTCGAATTGATGTCGGCAGGAGGAAGCTAAATAGAATTGATTTATACCCTACTCTTAATTAGATGTTTAAATGACGAAGAATGTGTGGAGGGCCTCCCATTGTTAGCTCAAGTTAAAGCATGTTTTGGCTGGATTTTTCTTTTGCTGTGGTTTTCTGTTGAGCTGTCATTAAAACTTATACCACATTAGTGCAACGGCGATGAGGTGACATGTTCGCACTGTTTGAGATAAGATTACCTTTTGATTATTTTGAGGATATTATTTATAGTGGACACTGACAGGTTGTCAAACAACATGGTTGCCCCTTTTCTTACACCAATCCAGTGTCGGTGAAATACCACGATTTGCTTTTGCTAAAGGCAAGCTTTAAAAAACGACATTCGGTTTGCACTTAAACTCCTCTTTAAAAAATAAAGAGGAATTGTTGGGAAGCATTCACCGTAGTCAGCCCCGAAGCTCCAGGAGGCGCAGCCCCCCTTTGCGTTCACTTAGCGCAGTGTCATCACACCGTTTCTGCCTGTGTGCACCTTCAAAATGGCCAGCGACTGATACACAGGCTGCTGCCGCCGTGCACACCCTCACATGCACCGGGACTCCATTGTTCCACTTATCGTTACTGCGACATTACATGTGCTAGACGAAGTTTAATCAAATCCGGGTCGGCTTCTGTCTTCAATCGTGTCTGGGAGAAAAGACAGCGTCGTCATTTTTAAAAGCAGGGTGAGTATGGCAGCGTTTGTGGTGAATTATTGTCTGTATGATTAGTTAAGGTTGTCTGTGTTAAGAACCTACAGGTTTGTTTTTTCACGTTGGTCTGAATTTGGTGCTGCACTGAGGAAAGTGACACATGATTGGAACCATTTTAAGACGATGTATATTATATAATTGGAATCAAATGAGAGTTCAGAGTAGAGCTATACTGAGCAGAACTATGATGTCATCATGTGATGTGACGAGGATAACTGAGGGATATGCTAATCTGCATTGGAAGAAGATTACATTATATGCTAAATTTTATTGCCCTTGAAGATTCTTTTGTATTCTGTCCCCAATCAATTTAAAGTAAGGTTTACCTGAATCATACTGTAGGAACATCAACACTACAATGTTCATATCATATAATTACATTTACCTTTACCTTTTTTGCATAATGGAGCAAGTGAGTGATTGAAACCATCTTTAATGAGTAAAAGGGTGTAGTGGAATGTGCAGGTGTCTGGTTTAGTTAAAATAATCCCCAAAGGGATAAATAAAGTTCTATCTATCTAACTATCTATCTAAAGATATCTATCTATCTATCTAAAGATAGATAGATAGATAGATAATGTGTATATTTATATGAAGACATCTTGTTTCAGACCTGACTGTCTTGTCAAGTCTGGCAGTTAAAAGGGCATGTTTTTAAATTTAGAGTTGCATAATCCAGTCTATAGAACCCTTTATAGATTGTTATAGAAGGCTCACTTATCAGCTAGGATCAGCTATTACGTCTGTTAAAGGTAAAGTAGGGAGAAATCTCTAGTTCGTGTTTATAAACACAGAGTACATTACAGTGTGGCCTTGTATTGCTCCAGAAGGTTCTATGAACATGATATAAAGAACAATGGATATTTTTTTCCTCAGCTGTAAGTACTATGATAACCCACTGGATATGTTTAAAACATATAATGAAAGGCCAAGATATTGCCATCTTCACAGGGTACTGTATAGCTCCCCTAAGCTGTAGTTCTCCAACATTGTAACAAAACTTTGGGCCTGCCATCCTGGTATCCTTTGATTTGCTTTATTGAGGTAAGTGAATCTGTTACAGTTACAATTTTCTAAACAATCAGTTGCAAATAAACACTTAAGATGTTTTTAGGCAACAAAAAATACTTAATCTGGTCACCTTATACAGTAGCTATTTTTATTGTATTGTCTATATTAAACATGTAAATGTTGAGGCTGTTTGAATGTAGTACATGTGTGGCCAGGTGGGATGGGATGTTGTCAGAAGACTTATTGATGATGGCTTTTTCAAGCTAGGTATAAACTGTCAGGGAGAGGTGAGGTCACCAAGGACAGATTATAATGCCATGTCTGAACATGGACCTTCAGTCAGTCTAGAACTGCAGAATGAAACTGCACCTTGAATTGGCAGATATACACAATAAAATAAAATATTAAAATTGCATAAGCGTATGTGCAGCTCCACCAGCTGTCATTACATTTCTGGTCATACAGTCTGAGGCATATGCACCAGATGTTTTATAAATATTTAATGCTTTATCTGTATTTGCATTTGCTTTTTTGTGCTGTAGTAATTCCATTTACCTGCTCTTGAATTTCATTGCCACATAATTATTAGTTGTTCTAGAGCCAAGTTTGTCAATATTTCCCAATCACAAAGTCACTTTTTAAGCCTGTCTGATCTCTAAGTAACCACCCAGAGTGGATATGATGCCCATGTTGTTTTAAGGCAAATCTACGCCAACCTTTCTATTTATTTATTTATTTTGTTCCCATTTTTGTGTACATTACTGTGCTGTTGTGAGGCCTTTGTCGGGTTCTTTGTGCAATCAAGTATCCAAATCACATGGTGCTAATCTGGCTTACAATTTCTTCAAATACAGATGGAATTGCTGGATCCTCTATAAAAGCAGTCCTATTTCTCCCTCATGCAACACTTGGCTGTAACTTGAGACAAAATGGCAGCAGGACTTGAACAGGGAAGGAGGGAAGGCAGGGATTCTCACAGCATTCATCCTTGTATTAAACCAGCAGACACAATTAATATTCTAGGAACGGACATCTTGAAGTTGATGAGGCTGAGACTGAGGGTCTTTGTGGCCTGGCAGCTGGACTGTCGATTGTGGGGCAGGAAGTGATTGAGGACGTCAGTGAGGAGACATCAAAAATCTGAATCAAGTGATGTTCCATTTCCATATTTTATACTTTAGCAAAGAGCTGAACACATGCACACATTGCTTAGTCAGTCTTCAGCTTTTAGAGATATGCTATGACACAAAGGCAATGATATCGGTGTTAAGTAAAACACATGTAACTAAGCATAGACCTGTTTTAAGGATGTGGTGAGAATGGCACAGAAGGTCTTAAGGAAAAGATCTGTAGATGAAATAGAACAAAGATCTCCTTTTAACTCTTAATTAAAACTGTTTAATGTGGTTCACAGCTTCACAGACACATTTGACACATAATTAGAAAGCAAGTTTTACGTAACACACAAAAACAATTATTTCTGAAAATTATAGATGCACCGATTGCAATTTTTTTGGAAACTGTGACTTGCTGATACCAATCTTAGCTAAATTTGTTTCCTTCAAAGGACAGCATGTACAAAAGTAAATGTTCTTTAGAGCAAAATGTTGTAATTGTGACACATATCCCACAAACTGCACTCACTCACAGATTCCCTTTTTAGTTCCACAACCTTTCAAAATAAAGTGCTTGGTGACTGGAATGACGTACTAAATGGAAATGACTTCATGGGAACCCAAATCCCTGGCTTTTATTTGCCACAGTCTGGATAATCTGTGTCTATCCATTGAGTAGTTAAACCCAGTATGGGCATTATAGTAATGTTACTTGTGGAATCATCAGTGATAAAATGAATTTTTGCTTTAGCCAACAGCAGACCGTTTAAGTTCATGCCATGTCATGACTTGAGGTAGCTTGATGATAGTGTTTTAAGTGTTTGTAGACCTGAACAACTGTGTGGTGGCTCCCCTACAGTTCACTTTATTGGTATATAACAGATAGTGAGCTTGGTGCTTTTACTGTAAAGTACTTTCAAGGTAACGACACGTTAACCTCAGCTCAGTCAAAGCTTTTCTCCTGTTCTCTGAACACACAGAACACATGTAAAAAACAAACAAATCGGCAGCAAAAAGAGAAATACAGGCACGGTGAGCCATGGCCAATCGCTGGTCAGGGCAGATCCAGCTGGAAATAGGTCAAATCCAGTCACTGGATGGTCGGATGGAACATCTCTACTCAAAACCCTGTGAAATTACAAGTTAATTTAGAGAAACATGTTTGTTTTGCTCTTTATGACACGCCAATCTGAACTGTGACTCTGAACTTCAAGCTAATGAGTGTTTAATTCTAGGTTAGCCTTGAGGAAAATAATTACCTTTGCGTATTATTAGAAGAGTACATAGTGCCACTGGCAAAAATGAAAATCTAAAAATGTCTAAAGAAACACGACACAAGTGCATGATATAAGTAATCTGTAATTAAAGTGTCAGAAGTGACGGCCATTCAGGAATAGATAAAAAAATAATGTTGGTGGAATGATTCAGTAGACAAACATCTTAAGAAGACCACATTGAATGTTATTGACTGTTCTATATCAAGTCTGTGGACTAAGCTGAGACTGTGGTCTAATTCTGGAAGACCATTAAAACCTGAAGTCATAACAACTTCAAAGTCACACCTGTTCCTAAAGGTGATGCCTGATTTAGTCATTAGGTCTAAGTCATTTAGGTCCAATATTTTGAGACTATTTTGTTCATGAGTTGTAAAAATATTAATTCAGAACTACATATTTTTCCTATCAGCTGTCAAAGTTGGATATTTAGGTATCCTTCAGCTAAGAATCCCCCAATGGTCTTGTCTCCACAGGTGCCCTACGAGACTCTGAACAAGCGTTTCAGAGCAGCTCAGAAAAACATCGACCGGGAGACGAGTCACGTGACCATGGTGGTGGCGGAGCTGGAAAAAACCCTCAGCAACTTTCCAGTGGTAGATTCTGTTGTGTCATTGTTGGATGGGGTGGTGGAGAAACTTAGTGCCCTGAAAAGAAAGGTAAGAGATACAGACATGGACACAAATGGAAACTAATCTGTTCAAGCTCTAATACAGTCAGTGTGCATTATCATCACAGTATGATCTGTATTTGGCTTTAAATTCTGGCAGCAGAGCTGTGAGTGAACAATGTTAGCCCAGATCCTGCCTAAATCTTTACTCTTCTTTGAAGAGCACACATCCATCAGACAAAGTGACTACTAAGAGAACATGAAGCAGCTATGATTATATTTCCAATATCTGTTGTTATAACTCAGATCATGCATAACATAAAGGGCAGGTGTTCAATCATCTCAATACTAGTGCCTTCCTGTTTGTGGCCCTTATGACGAACACACACAGTGACAGTTGATTCTTGTTCTTTCCACATGGATTTTTTTTTGTTAACTCTCCAAGTTAACTTTGAAGAAAGTAACAAGAACGTTGACTGAATAACAGCACATGCACATTTACAAAGAGTTGACATCTAAGAATTCACATAAACATAAATTGACGGGGAAGCTCTGGTCACACAGAAATCATCAAGATTTTTTTTTATCTGATCTGTGCATGTTTGTCCTGGAATCATCAGGATGTGTGTCTACCAAATAATTCCAACTCTAACTTTTTCTTAGCATATTTTTAACTAAATTGCCTTGACTATCATTTGTTTGGTGCAGGCCGCAGAGTCCATTCAAGCCGAAGATGAGAGCGCAAAACTCTGCAAGCGTCGCATTGAGCACCTTAAGGAACACAGCAGTGACCAGCCGGCCTCGGTCAATCTGTGGAAGAAGAAACGCATGGACCGCATGATGGTGGAGCATCTGCTTCGCTGTGGTTACTACAATACAGCAGTTAAACTGGCCAGACAGAGCGGTATAGAGGTAGGCTTACTGTCTTGTTATATCTGTGATGAAGAGGTTCTGTTATCAAATCCCCATTTTTTTGGTCTGATAACACATTTCCTGGACTTTTTGTGTAGGATCTGGTGAACATTGAGATGTTCCTCACAGCTAAAGAGGTGGAGGAGTCTCTGGAGAGGCAAGAAACAGCCACCTGTCTTGCCTGGTGCCACGACAACAAGTCTCGCCTTCGTAAGATGAAGGTAGTGTGTATATGCTCGCAGAAATACATAGTGAGGTAACTTCTTGTATGTTTTGGACTCCAGTATAAGTGTCTGAGCTACCAAATATATGTTTAAGTGTCTGAGCTATATCTATATCTTTATCCTTCAATTTACGCCAGCAAGAAAAAAAATTTTGAAAAATTAAAAAAGCAGCTTCATGACCTCTTTGATAATTAATAGGAGAGTAATATTAAGCCAGGTAGGAACTATGCTGTGCTGTAATCAAAAGACCTTCCAAGTTATTGAGACTATTTCTGAGATGCAACCATAAAATAGATTTTTGGGAGCAGTAGTAGTTCTCTCCGTTTAATCTCTTTATCTTCACTGGAGCCTACAATGCAAATGCCTTCTGAATCATTTCTTGTTTACGTTTTGACTTTCTTTGGCAGAGTTGTCTGGAGTTTAGTCTGAGAATCCAGGAGTTCATCGAGCTCATCAGACAAAACAAACGCATGGATGCAGTGAGGTATTGAGACCAATTTTTATTTACAATACCTCACTCTAATCCAGTAGATGTGGAAATATTTTATTTTTAATTGTAGCCCAATTTAAAGCATTTTATCTGTGTTAGACATGCAAGGAAACACTTCAGCCAAGCAGAGGGTGGGCAGTTGGATGAAGTCCGGCAGGTGATGGGGATGCTGGCCTTCCCGTCAGATACGCACATCTCTCCATACAAGGTAAGATTGTCTTTTTACAATCATTACGTTCTTGTTTTAGTATTTACAAACGCCTTCAAGTAGATGATGTACTTTAGCAGCAGAACAACCACTAGATGTCTCTGTTATCTGCTTTGAAAGCTTGGATTTGTCCTTGGGTTGTTATTCACCATCCTTAGAAGCAGGCTGAGAAATTTGATTTCATCCTTGCATCAGTACAACATTGATTTATTCAAAAAAAGCATTAAGAAAGAAGAGGATGCTGTTATATAATCATGCTACTGCATCTCGGCTTTCTCCTGCACAATTAAAGCTGAACTTATCATTAGAATGCCTTATTGTAACATAAGTTATCAGACTGTTGGTATGATGTAATTAAAGAAACAACTTTCAAAGACCAAACGACACAACCTGATAAAACGATTGCACGCTTTCATGTTTAGATTGATGGACACTTTAAAGACAGGGTCTTGAAATCTGCAAATACCAGCCTGACAGGGTACTGATGTTGATCAGCAGATTCCCTCACCCCCCCCCCCCCCCCCCCCCCTCAAGGGAAGAACCCGGATACACAGGTCTGCCACACCTGTGTATTGTTACAAACAGGAATTACTGGCTTTATTGGTGTAGAAATCTGTCTTTTTTCCCCTCACTCTTGTGTCAGGATCTTTTGGATCCAGCTCGCTGGAAGATGCTGATCCAGCAGTTCCGATACGACAACTACAGACTGCATCAGCTTGGAAATAATTCTGTCTTCACTATAACTCTACAGGCTGGTCTGTCTGCCATCAAGACACCGTATCCTAAATGAAATAAAGTATTTCACATCCTAGCACACAGATGTTGTTAATCTACTGCTGCCTCCATCAGTACGTTCAGTTGTGTAAATGTGTGACTCTAGTGTTAAAATGTTCTGCTGGGATTTAACTCAGTCACACAGACTTGTCAAAGGAAGCAGGCGTAGAAAATCAGCTTCAGTATCTCTCTGAGCAAATATTGTCAACCTTCTATTGGCTCTTGGGCAGATATAAATTAACGTATTAACTTTAATTGTTAAAAGATAATTGTTAGACTCTGGTTTTCTCTTTTTCTATCTAGTCTTTGATTTAATTTCGTCCTTGCTGTTTACCAAGTGTTTGTTTGTAAGACATAATCAGGACACTGTGTTGTTCCTTAATTTCATTTGATTGCAGTCAATGCTACAAGGAGGATGGTACCTCCAAGAACCCAGACTGCCCCGTGTGCAGTAAATCTTTAAACAAGTTGGCCCAACCTCTTCCAATGGCGCACTGTGCCAACTCTAGACTAGTGTGTAAGATCTCTGGAGAAGTTATGAATGAAAACAACCCTCCAATGATGCTTCCTAATGGATATGTTTATGGTTACAATGTAAGTGACTAACAAATACCACAATTTCAAAGCTATTTTTGTCAAATTAATTTCTCATAACTATCATGTGTTAGGCTTATTGTCTTTTTTGTTTTTCTCTTTCAGTCTCTTTTGTCCATTCGTCAAGATGACAAAGTGATTTGTCCCAGAACCAAAGAAGTCTTCAACTTCTCTCAGGCTGAGAAGGTCTACATCATGTGATCCCTCAGACAAAGTTGTACATGATTAAAATGATCGTTCATCACCCTACTCCCAAAGTCACAGGTGGAGCTGTGATCTTACGACCTTCCACCCCCCCCCCCCCCCCCCATATACACACAAGTAAAGTAACACAACGGCCCCGTCTACGACCGACCCCTTGACACCTTCTCCTTCCAACTGTGTATCACAGAAACAACTGTGTGCTCCTTTCATGCAGTTTTCTCTGTAGTTAGGAGTCGTTTGATCAAATTCATTCAAGCACATGGACACTGTCACTGTTTTCATCACCTTTTTGGGCCTTCACTCTGAAGATTAGAGACTTTAGACAAAGGACTGAGGAGGTAGAAACCTGATAGGTAGATGTTAAATTTTACTACAAAATAAAACTGTTTAGGGTTCCTATGCCTTCTTTTCTCTTTTCACTAGTCACGTTTCTTTGTACTGCTGTCTGATTGTGATCATTCACCACATGTATGACATTTAACATGAGAATGGGTGTTTTTTTGGGAGGGGGGTGGTATGGCTAACTGGTCTGAAAAGTAGCGTCTTTTCTATGTGATGCATGCTGTTGTCTTCTAGCCATGTTCCTGTTGGATTTTTAAATCTGTGTGTTAAATATTTAATTTAAAATTGGCCCAAATATAATTCTGCATTTTACTTTGCTCGAGAACTGGAGCCCAAATCGGCATCAGAAGGCTCCTATTCATATGTAAACATTGATACAATTGGTAGTAGTCGAGGATGTTTTACAACAGCAGTGATGCACATGCAAATCAACCTATCAGAAGGACTGCTGTTCTCTTGTCCTCTTTTTAAAGTGGAACTTATCCTTCCTGGGGAAAACATTTCCAAAATTTCACATTTCCACAATTTTGGGAAAAATAATGATGGTGTTAGTACCATAAAAATAATGGTGTTAGTACCATAAACATCACACATTGTTTCCAAATTGTATTTGATGTATTTTTTCACTAAAAAATGTCTTCCTTTTTGTATATTTGTCATGTTGGACTAGAATCCACTTGTTTTGTGATTACATTTTCACTGAAGATGGGATGAGACCTATTTTAAAATTTATTAACATACTTTGGTAATTTAAATACCATGTTATCACTTATAATTTGACCAGTTTATTTCTGAATGGAGCAACAAAATAAAGGACTCTGTCAACATTTTTCATCCGCTTATGTTAAAGCTAGAGCTTGTGTTTACAGACTGAAAAAGATGCAGACGCAGCTATCTGATTTCAAAGCAAAGTACAACTTTAAAGCCTAAGATCTGCAATTGAGGAGATGACAGCATTATTGTTTTTACAACAAGATTGTTGTTTCTCTTCTGTAGACTATATGTATTTCTGTGAATTAGACTGGGTTCGTGAACAACATGATCAAAAATGTTGACAGGGTTGTTGACTTTGCTGAAAAGGGTGCACAGATATATCATGAAAATGACAAATTATTATTATTATTTCTCATTTGTGTCCCTTAATGAACCTGTAAAGACAGATGGCCTTGTGTTTGTGTTGGTAGAATAGATAAGAAACTGTTTGAGCAATATGTCTCATAAATATTTCACTGATACTTGCTTTTAGTACTTTGCTTGTTGCTCTTTTGACTTGCATTTCCAAATTAAAATGATCCCAGTTAGCATTTGAATATGGAAATGCAAAGGCTCTGTTTACCATCTTTTTATAGTTCTGGTGTAAGTTAAGTCACAATTGCCCTCCTTTGGGTTTTTGTCCAGTATATCAAAATTGCTGATTCACTTAACATAACTTGTGATAGTGATGCTCTGCTTTTAACTTTTCACCAATGTGAGAAAGGGGCAGCTTAAGCGTCCAGGGAGCAGAGTGTGGCGACGGTGCCATGCTCAAGCACCTCAGTGGTAACTTGGCAGCTGTAGGACTCAAACCTGAAACCTTCCAGAACCAAGTCTGTTCCCTTAACCACCAAGCCCACCGCTGCACCATCACTTAAACTAAACCAAACAGAAAGAACTGACCTGGGAAAGAAAACCAGCTATAAATACATTATTGTATAAATGAGTTATTCCTAAATAATGAGGCAAACTCATTTCTGGGTAAGTTGGTGTCTTAAATTGCTTAGGTATCTTGATATAACCAAAATATCTTTACACTTTTCTATAACCTTAAAATAAAACCTGTGGTGTGCTTTATATATAACTGAATTTCACTTTCAATTTGTTGACAAATATCATTTTTTTAATAGTCAAAACATAAAAAGGCTTTTGAATTGAACCGTTTCTGCATTTTCAAAGATACGTTTTGAGTTAAGCTAGCCAAGTTCTGTGGTATATTTCTTAGTTTATAATTACATTTTACTTTGTGTTGGTTAGACAACAAATGTCTTAATAGCCAAACATCCAAATAAATAAATCAACCAATAAATCATTCATACATTTTGGAAGACACTGCGAAACAAATTTCTTCATTATTCATTAAATACACATTTTGGGTAAATTAGCACTTTATTTCCCAACTCAGTGTTTGATAATAGTGATTTATTAAATAATACATTTCATCTACAGTACTAATTGAGCCACAACAGAAAGCGATAGATGTGATGTTTTGTCACATAACACATTTTTATAATGAAGCATAAAAACGTCCCCTTTATTTTTAGATACGTTTTTAAAATCGTGGAATAATCTAACAATCGAATTCGAATATGTTTTTAATTCATTGAACATTCGAAGACGTTTCTTTGTTTAAAGAAAACTGCCTGTGATACAAAGGAAAGCGTGTAACAGTGTCACACCGGAAAAGGCGGTGTTAGATTACGTGGTCGCTCTCCAACTCTATAAAACCCAGCCTTGCTTTGCTTTCGCCACCATTTTGAAATCGTCGGTCAGCAGTTAAGGTAAACGAGATAAGACATCGTCATTGTTCCAAAATGAGCGAACAGCTTTGCAAACTATTTGTTGGTGGCCTGAATGTCGACACCGACAACAACAGCCTGCGGAAACACTTCGAGCAGTTCGGTACTCTCACCGACTGCGTGGTCGTCACCAACAAGCAGCTGCAACGGTCCCGTTGCTTCGGCTTTGTCACTTACGCTTCGCCAGAGGAGGCCGACGAGGCCATGAAAGGCAGGCCACACACCGTCGACGGTAATGCCGTCGAGCTGAAGCGGGCCGTTGCAAGGGAAGACGCAAACAAACCAGAAGCCCTTGCAAAGGTTAAGAAAATATTCGTTGGCGGCCTTAAAGATGACATCGAGGAAGAACATTTGACCAACCACTTCAGTCAATACGGTGAGGTGGAGAAGTCCGAAGTCATCTCAGAGAAGGAAACCGGAAAGAAGCGAGGTTTCGGCTTCGTGTACTTCACCGAGCACGATTCGGCCGACAAGTCTGTAGTGGTGAAATTCCACACAATCAACGGACACAAGGTTGAGGTGAAAAAGGCCCTGACCAAGCAGGAGATTCAGGCTTCCGGCAGGAGCAACATGGGGATGGGCGGAAGAGGCGGTAGAGGAGGCATGAGAGGGAATCAAAATGGCTACGGTAACAGGGACTATGGCGGAAACTACAACTACGGAAATGGCGGAGGCTATGCTGGGGGCTACGGAGGAGGCTACGGCGGCGGCTACGGAGGAGGCTATGGAGACCAGGGTAGTGGATACGGTGGTGGAAACGGCTACAATGAGTTTGGTAGCTATGGCCAACATTCATCCGGGTACGGTCCAATGAAGGGTCCCTACGGGCCTCAGCGAAGCGCTGCTCCCTACAGCCGAGGTGGGGGCGGTGGCGGCGGATACCCAAGGGGAGGATATGGAGGCGGCTACTAAACGAAGACTGCTCATCGACCACCCAACCCATTTCGACTCGGTACCTGAATTCCACCGCCAAAATTCTAAATCAGTAACGGGGTGTCTGCCGTGAAAGTCGTCCACGGCAGAGATAAGGACAGAGATCCCCACTGTTCAGCCCAAACAGGTAGGAAGGTCACTTCCCAGAAAAACCTGTAGATTTCCAGCACCGCTTCAACTAGGACACATTAAAAGAATAAATGATAAAATTGATCCCTTTTATGTACCCACGCACCAATGTGTGGCTAGTCGTTTAGAATTATTTTTTTATTTGCGTTCAATCGTTATTTTTGGAACTTCTGATGTAGGTTTGTTTTTGTTGCTGATAAGTTGATACCTTTTCTTAATATTTTACATTTTAAACAGGTAGACTAGGTTGTTTATTTCTGGTGTGTTTTCATTTTGTGAGGATAAAACAGCATTTTTGTGCTTATGGATTTCAGCTGTGTTAAACTGATCACATTTATATGTATGTTATTCACATCAGTGAATCAGTGAAAAGCGGGAACACTTCAGGATCCAGTCTCTGTTCCTCCACATACTGTTTTCCAACTCCGACCATAGCTCCACAACCGAACCTGTTTATTTTCCTGTAGCAATATCCTATGTATATTGTATACTTAAATGTCTGGAGAACAAACTTACTGTTTAAACACATTGATATGCTTTATGTATGTTCTTTTTAAATAAACCAATTCTACCACGTAGCTTAGTTATCTTACTTATTTAACCAGGCTTCCTCAAGTTTATCCACAGGTTTAGAAGTGACTTCATCTCCCTCTTTATAGTTCCCAGTTTTTACCTTTACACTCAGGTGGGTGAAATGAATGAGTCTGCCCACAGCCAATGCATGTAGGCTTTGTAGGGTTTGACAATTAATTTTACTTATGTGCTAATTTATTATACATTCAATTAAATATATTGAATACTTTATGTCGACATGAGGGCTCTGATATTTACCTTTGATTATTCCTACATTTAGGTGTTCTTACTTGTATTCCAGTAGGCTATCCAAGCCAAAATAGCGGTAGCAGTTTGTTTGTAGGCTACCACAGGACCCTGTTGATTACCTGGGGTCGATTGTGATAGGAGTCTGAAATATCTCTTTAGGATATCCTCATCCAGCAAACTAGGTATGTAAATCAACCTGTTTTCACTCTGTGTTGGTCAAGTATGTATGGCAAGACTGCCAGTTATATTATCTTATTTCAACTTTACTTGCTTAAATTCCTCAAACGCCTTCCTATAGCTAATTTTATATTCAAAACAAAGAGGGGAGGGTGGCTAATTTGATCTTTTCTTATTACAAAGTGGTTGGAGGGAGGCACAAACTTTGTTCCAGCTTTGAATAAGATCATGGAACAGTTGCCTCCCATTAATGAGCGTTGTCTGGTTTCTCATTGTCTTTCTCTCTCCCATCCCTGCAGGTTGCTACGGTAACCTTGGCCTGAGGACTTCGCCCTATGAGCAGTCTGGTGTTTCAATGCTGCTGGGGGAAGGAGGAGTGGTCATGTGTACTCCCCCACAGGTGAAGTCAGTTTCCAATGGGACTTCAGCATGGTCAACATGCGTTATTGATGTGCTTTTATCCCAATTTATTAAGACATCTTCCTTTAGGTGAACAAGTGACCCATGTCACAAGGATTACTTCCGCAGATTTTTTTTAAATAAAGATATTTATTTATACCTCAAGTGTGGCACCTATATTACCAGTTCTGTTGTTTGTTCCATTATTGATCTTCATCAAAAGGTATGAACTTGGTCACTATTCCTAAAGAGAACTTGTGTGACTATAAGTTCTATTTATTCTTTTTGAAAAGGTAAGCTTAATAATAGCAAAAATTGCTAATTTACATAAATGTTACTGGTAAAATTGAATTGACACTGACTAATAGAGTAAATTGCTACAAGCTTAACCCACTTAAAATAGTTTACTTTGTAACTCTGCTAAACTACAAATTAAAAAATGTATACATAAGTATCTTCTGATTATGGTTGACCCATATTATTAAAGCGAGGTGTTAAGATCCTTAGAGGTGTAGTTTTAAATCTCACAGCCTTGATATTTTTTTTTGTCATAAGCTGAAACAAGGACTAGTTTACATAATGATCTATGGATGTTTTCATTCGGAAGGCCCAAATGGTGGTCAGTCAGTGTACATCAAATCAGTCTTGTCAATTAGGTTAAGGATTTTTGTTCTCTCGTAACACGGAGTGCATCCTGCTTGTGCCCTTATTTATTTTATTTATTTTTTTAAATTCTTCCTAAGATTTAAGTAATGAGTTTTCTGATACATCCCTGTTTTTCAAGTGTTTGCTTGGTGCAATTGAGATTTGGAAACTGTGTTGGGCATTTAGCACTTTTGGTGTGGATCCAAAAATGACATTTGGACAGCAGTCATGTCATGCCCTGCTTTCAGTGAAACCACAGATGCAATATCTGGTTTCCTTGAAACTTTATCACAAGTACATCTGGGTGGTGCGTTCAAAGTAGCCCCTTTGACGACCCTTTTGCTTGACTTCTTTGCCTTGCTTTGTGTTTGGTTGCTAATTTCTTGAGTGATGAGCTAAGAAACTTAACTGTAAAGTAAAACTAACAGGAAAGGTGTAAAACTGCTTCTGCAGCATTCCAGAAGATGAACCGTACTCCGTTCACATTAGATCTGCAATGTGGTATATTGGATCCAGTAAAAACAAAGAAGGTACGACGCCACTACATGAGTGGAAAAGGTAGTGTAATGCTACTGATTTAGAACTAGAAAAAAGGAATACATACTACACAACATGTAGATTGAAAACTATTAAGTGATAAGCCAAGCCAATCACAACAGTACTACACAAAAATCAAGCTCTAAAAGGAAGAATTGACTTTGTTTAAACAACACTGAAACTGACTACTGTGGCAGTGTTGTATATTTTTAGAAAGTAAGTTAGATGTGAACAACTCAAAAAACATTGTCTCACTGGAGAACAACAAAAAGGGCCAGTAACACTAAGAGGATCTTTTTCCAACACCTAAAAATATATAGATAATCCTGTAATCTATGTTTTACATACATAAGATATTTAATGTACTTAAATCCTGGATTATGCTTTAATAATCAACCATGGAAAGGTTTGCATTTTTCTAAGAAAAGGGGTTTTATATGGAAGTGTTGTAACCCAATCCAGTTTTTTTTTTTCGTCAATTGATTAGAGGACTTTTTTTTTCGTTTATTGTGTTTGTCCACGTGTAAAACGTGCAGAACGGAATTTGTTATCATGAACCTTGTGTTGTAATTACAATTTTTTTCTGCCTTAGGAATAATAGCCGTTTGTTATAGCTATTGATAACTCTTAATTCCAGTTGTTATAGCAAATGTAAGTAAGGAAACTGGGATCCGCACTTTACACAAGATTTCCGATTGCACCTGAAAGCAGCTGCAATGAGTATTGCTCGTCAGTCAAAGTAGGCGGTGCTTTTTTCAAAACGGACAAATCAACGTGTTTTACGTGAGAGGTCGGCATTGCGTCAGACGGAACGCCTTGACGTCGTTGATTGAAGAAGAAGAGGAGGGACGCTCTGGTTTGTCCCTTCCATCCACAGAAGAGAGTCAGTCATGTCGTCGCAACTCTGTAAGCTTTTTGTCGGAGGGCTGAATGTGGAGACAACGGACGATGGCCTCCGCTCTTACTTTGAACAGTACGGAACCCTCAGCGATTGCGTAGTGGTGATGAACCAAGGCCTCGGCCGTTCCCGCTGCTTCGGCTTCATCACCTACTCGACGCCGGAGGAGGCCGACGCAGCAATGGCGGTTAAGCCACATGTGATCGACGGCAACAACGTGGAGCTGAAAAGGGCCGTAAAGCGAGAGGACGCCAACAAGCCCGAGGTCCTCGCTAATGTGAAGAAGATCTTTGTCGGAGGCGTCAAAGACCACATGGAGCCCGATAACCTGAGTCAATACTTCTCCCAGTACGGTGTGGTGGAGAAGGTGGAGATCATCTCTGACAAGCAGACCGGCAGGAAGAGGGGCTTTGGCTTTGTCTTCTTCGAGGACACCGATTCTGCCACAAAAGCGGTGCTGACCAAATTCCACAACATCGAGGGAAACCAGGTAGAGGTTAAGAAAGCTCTGACTAAGCAGGAGCTTGGTGGTCCAGGCGGAGGAAGAGGAGGAAGGGGGCGCGGGAGAGGGATGCCGAACTTCGGCGGCGGGAGAGGAGGCGGCGGTGGCTTCAGAGGAGGCTACGGCGGCGGTAACTACGGAGGTGGTTACGGCTATGGTGGGGGTTACAACAATGGTGGTGGAGGAGGATACGGGGGTTACGAAGGGTACGAGGATTACGACAACCAGATGGGTGGTGGGTACGATAACGGTGACTTCGGGCAGGGGTATGGACAACAGCAGGCCAATTATGGTCCAATGAAGGGGGGCAACTATTCCTACCGGAGCGGGGCTCCTTACAACAGAGGCGGGGGTGGAGCTGCAGCTCCTGGTGGTGGCTACGGCAGAGGGGGATTCGGTGGAGGTTATTAGATCTCCATCTACCCACAGTGGGATGTTCATTGGGAAAATTCTGAATTCAACAAACTTGAGACTACACAGACTCGTGGCGCAGTCCAGGTGGTAGTGCCGAAGGGCTTTTGTTCTTCGTGTATGTTGTAAGAGACTGTGCCCATCACCCACACAGAATGAATGAGATTCTGACCCCCCGCCCCCCCACTACCTTCGCCCGGAGCCCATATGTCCTCTTCTCCATCCACAACTAATGGACTTTACAGTTAATGTTAAATAGTACTTTTGTTATGTTCTTGGTCTTTTTTTAATTGATTATAAAAAAACTATCACTCAGTCACTGCTTCTCATCTCCTATTTTAATGTCTATCTTGCGAACCACCATGCGTTACTTTTGCATCATAAACTCAGGGTTTTCCGTGGAGCTGGAGGCAGTGTTCGGCAGCATGGATGGGACTCGCCTGCTTGAGTTTCTTGATCTTAAAAAACCTTGTTGCTTTTTTTTTTGAGAAATTCTGTTCAGTTCTGTTGTTGGTTGTACTGTAAATTAACATTTCCCTGCCTTTCCCGTCCCAGGCATATAAGCCTTTGTTTAGATTAAAACTGTTTGGAATCCATGTGTTCAGTTTGCCCATATGTTTTATTCTGCTTTTATTAAAGTTTTTAATGTTTTGAAATCTATTTAATTTTGTACTATTCATTCAAAATTTTGAAGTAATACAATACCGAGTTTTGTTCCATTTGACGACCAGCAGGTGGCAGTATAGGTTGCACATTACATCCTCTTTTGTACAACAGCCATTTTGGAACTGCTAAAGAGGGCATGGACATTGGTGTTATCATGTGCATGCTGTTGTAGGGTCAGGGTTTATCACTTTGTTTTGGCAGGTGTAAAAAAAAAAGGTACGTACAGCTGCCCAAGGTCAAAAATCAACCCCTTTGCAGGACTGTGGACATTTGGGTTTCTTGAGATTTAAAAATTAATCTGAAATGGACACTTCAACCATTTATATCCCAGTCCAAGGGGAAGAAAATAGTAGAATATTGTAGTATGAAGGTTATAGTTGTAGATTTAGGCTTTAATTTATCATATTATAGTATACCCATACTGTACCTTGCAATCTAGTAGTGGTTTTTACATGATGTCACAATCCTTAAGATCATCTATAAAGTGACTTCAGAGATTAATTATACAATATACATTTTACAAGTGTAAAAATATCAACGGGTATAGAAATAAGTACGAAGTGGTTGGTATAAAAAATGTACAAACAATACACAAAAATCATCGTTTCATCCAAACATTCCTTGTAAAAAATATGACTTGAAATTTCCTTAAATATGAGAAAAGTATTTCTACTCAAATAGCGACTATTTTAACTTAACTTTATTTTATCTTAACATTTAGCTTAGAAATGATAGGCACACAGCATCGAAAGGTGTTTTGTACAAAGTCTGAGTATTTAGATTTTACAGAGTGACTCATCTCTACCAACAGAGGATCTTGGTGCGGCAGCGCTCATGCCCGCTGCGTTTGTGTGTATCTGCGGGCGGAGGATGGACGGTGTGTCTTTGGGGTGAGTTTCTTCATTTTAAATAAAATTATTTGAACTCGCGTGTGTTTAAAACATATATATTGTGACTAAAATGTTTATTTTAACAAATGTTACGATAGTTTTAGTTTTTTTTTCCTAACTCAGAACTGACGATAGCATTTGTGACTCGTTAGCCAGGGTGACGTTAGCTGCACCTATGACTACAAAACTCCTTAAGAATATTTATTTAAACAATCATCAAATGTTTCAGGGACATTTCAAAAATATTTACTGATAACCACTATATGTAAATCGGTTTGCAGAGGATAACATAAGTAGAGCCCCATATTGTGTGATGGTTAGCATTTGCTTAGAGCTAGCTAGCCTGACAACCAGAAGTACAAAATCAAAACAAAGACAAATGTAGTCTTTTTTTTTTTAAGTTTTCTAGCCAAAGAAGGAAACAAACTCTATACATTGCACGAAAGTCGCATCGACGTGCTTTTAGAAGATGTTATAAAATTAGAAATCACCCTTTCTCAGTTCGTTTGTATGGATCATTGTAATAAGAACAAATAAAAAACAGTGGAATACATAAACAGTAACAGTAAAACAGAGGCAGACCATGGTCTGTTTTTCAAGGCACACAGTCTAGATTCTCTGGAATTTGATTTCTTTAATCACTATTGGGTCGTTATAAACATTTATATTGCGTTATATCAGCTCTTTAGATCAGGGAGTATTCAATATTTGAGGTCCCTTCATTTGTCACATGTACAAGTACCTGGACATGTATTTTAGTCTTTTTTATGCATTACTACTATTTATATAAATAGTGGCGGAAATATACACAGCAGACACTTCAATTTAAATTATTATTGTCTTGGGTTATTAATGATGGTTGCTCTGTATGCGTTATTACGCACTGTATGTTTAAGAATTAGTCAATATACCTTTAAAAAAAAGTCTTATCTCTCCTATGACAACCCCAGAAGCCAAACCAGCTTCTAACACAGCCTTAAAAAAAGGCTGAGCTTTTTCCCATCATAGTTTCTCTAACTGTTGGCTCACCATCTGTCTAAACATCCAGACACTGCCTCTCATGTCTTACCAGTCTGGTGGCCTCACCAGCCTCACCACATCGAAACTGCACCACGGAGTCAGAGGAGGACATGGTGAATGGAGGAATGCTTACCTTCAACCAGACACACATGAGGAAAGCATTCCAGCTCATGAACGACCTCAGGAGGTTTGTTTCCTAAATTTCATTTTAGTTGTGAAGCTTCTTTCTTGGGTTTTCAGTGCTTGACAGTAAGAGTTAAGTCATGAACATGAACTGATTTTTTGAGCAGTCCAATATAAACACTTTTGAAGTTAATAGAAAGCCCTTGTGCAGTATTTGAAACCACTAAGTTGTTTTTGTGTTTTGCTCTTGTATCAAATCAGAACTAATGAACCACACTTAATTCAATGACATGTGAAATCTGTGTACAGGAACATGTTCTAAAATTTTATGGATTCACTTTGTCCTTGTGTGGGTTTAAGATAATGTTTTCACACGCTCATGTACGCACATCAAGTTTTTACCCCACATAATCAGACATATTTCTGTTCAAACAATGCTGATAAGACGTGTGAACGTTTTCCCTCTTTTAATCCTGACCCTTCAGTAAACAGCTGCTGTGTGACGTCCAGCTGATTGCTGGCAGAGTCCAAGTGCCAGCACACAGGGTGGTCCTGGCCTCCTGTAGCCCCTACTTCTGTGCCATGTTCACAGGTAAACAGAAGTTGCCATCTGATTTGCAGTTTTTTTGTTTAGTTTGTCAGTGTTTTCAATGACTTCTTCTCTGTCTGAAGGGGATATGAGTGAGAGCAAGGCCCAGCAGGTTGAGATCAGAGAGGTCGACGGCCTGACCCTGAGAAAACTAGTGGACTACATCTACACCGCTGAAATTGAGGTTACTGAAGACAACGTACAGGTGTGTATGTTTTTCTTAGAAGGGGACGTTTCTGTTATTGCAGCCACAACTGTGTGGACATTTGTACATATATTTAGCAGTAGTTTTAGAGGCTTTCAAGTATCAGTACTTGGATTTATCATGTGTCTAGCAAGATAAAAATATGTGATTTTTACTTCTGTCCCTTAACAAGTTAAAAATGTGATTATAACCTGATTGAAAAGACATAGAAAATAGGAGGACTTTGTCATTTTTTATGGGTTGATCTAATCATTTTTAGACTTAAAAAAGAATGTTGTTTAGATGGAAGCATCTATGAAATTGATGGGTTGAACATTTGAAACTCTGCTGTGACTGTACTGGAGACGCAGGAGCTGTTTGTTCCAGTGAAGGGCAGGAATTTGAACTAGCAAACCCCTGATTAGAGTCCACTGGCCACTGGTTGCTGTTTTCATCAGTGCTGAAGCTAAAACAAGGAGTTACAGCTACAGGAAGTCATGAAGTGATTTATTTATTTAGCCTTTTAATAGTTATTTTTACTATACAGCAGAACATTTTTTTTATCTTAAAGAGAACATACTATTTAATTGTTGTAGTGGGTCTCTCTTGGTCTCTCACATGATAAGAATTTACACCTATTGAACTAAACAAAAACTCCACATCACGTGTCTTAGAATTCTAATAATTATGTTGTCGCAGAAGTCAAGCTCATTTCATTTCTTTGTTTTTATTGTTCAAGTTCACAGAATTCAAACTGAATCCATCTGGAGAAAACATGTTATTCTTCCCGCAAAGTTCAGTAAAAGCTGGTAATGGTTGTGAGCTATTTTCTGCTGCAGGGATTTGTTTTTGTCAGTGGACTTACAGTAACTCTGGATTGTTGCATGGCTCTGCTGTGGCGTTTAATGAAAGGTTCAAGCTACAAGCTGGATACTTCCTCTCATTATTAGCACAGGAAGTGTGCATGGAGAGAGACAGGAAATCCTCCCACTGTTAGCAGCGTGCCTGCCTGATTGGCTCACTCACAAATGTGTGACGTGCATGTTTTGACCAAATGACCAGAGTCAGTATAAAGCTGACTTTACGATTGTATGTCCTCAAACTGTTTTTTCCTTTTAACATACAGTATATTCAAACATATTTTTACCCCATTATCCCTGTTTGTTACAGATGCTGTTCAGGATAATCAGCTAACATTTTAACAGACCTTTTAAACTCATTAGCCATTTTTCTGGATGGTAAAATTAACAACAACATCAACATTTTTTGTAAAACCAATCATCATAGCAATTCTATGATAACACTGCCTTGTTTGTTTCCCATTTACTGTAGTTCAAATTTACAAAATAAAGGAGACTTTTGATTTCAGAAAACCTGGAAGTAGTCATTTAGACCAGAGGTCACCAATCTTTTTGTTCAACCGACTGGTTGTAGTAAAACAATATACAATATTTCGTAGACCGGTTGTCAAGAATCTATTTAAAAACTAGACAAAACCAACTTAACAACATCACCAATATTAAGATTTATTTAGACAAGATTTTGAGTCCCAACAACTTCCCAACAACTGTAAACAAGGTTTTTTTTTTTTTTTTTTTTTTTTTTTTGGAGGCAGAAGGCTGGTCTTTTCTCTCTTCAGTTGGCCTGTCCCTCTCTTTACCAATCCCTAAGACAGGGCTTACAAACTATGTTTGTCAGAAGGCAAGAGTTTTTCTAGACAGACACCTTAGCTGCAAGACACTCCAAAATGATATAAAAATCACGTCATTGTCTAACATTATTATTTTTAGGTTATTTTGGAATCTATTTGCGGGCCAGGCCACCAGTTAATGCTCATTGCCGTAAGACCTCAGATACTTGGGACGTCTTGATTTGTTAAAACATATTTGGTGACCTCTGATTTAGACCTCAAACTTTGTGGAAATTAAGGAAACCTGTAGAATTAATATAGAGTTATTGAGGAGAGATAGATATAGATGCTACGACACACCTGTAGAATTAATATAGAGTTATTGAGGGTTATTTTTGTCTCTAGTTACTTCAGTCAAATAGATGCTACGACACACATGATCAAATTCTTTACCACCAATGCCAAACGTGAAAACATGGCCACACCTGTCCCCTCTGCAGGTCCTGTTGCCAGCAGCCAGCCTCCTCCAGCTGATGGATGTTCGTCAGGTCTGCTGCGAGTTCCTGCAGTCTCAGCTTCATCCCTCAAACTGTCTGGGCATCAGAGCCTTTGCAGACCTTCACACGTGCACACAGCTCCTCGGTCAGGCCCACGCCTACGCTGGTAAGCTTTTTGCTGTTCTCACCTCAGATCCTGAGTCATTTCTGCAGCTGTGTGTACATGATATACACATCGGTATATACGGTATGTACGGTAAGAGTTTTAATGGAGAGTTTAATTGAAGGTTGTCATCGAAGCTTTTATAAAGCTTCAAGGCGCAGGTCTTATACAGCGGGCAACACAAACGCTTGTCTGTACGAGAGCACCTGATACAAGTTACGTTTATAGTGTGCTGGATACATTTCTGTGTGCGTACAAGAATATGAGTAGGGGGCCAGTTGCCCTCAGAACCATCGCCAAATGTGAGATTATCTGCCCTAACAGAAACTCAGAAACAGGGAGTATGTGCATGAAATTGTCAAAGTCTTACAGGAAACAGAGAACAGATAATGAGCAGCATTTCTCATCAATGGCATACACACATAAGGTCAGGCTGGTCGTTTCAGTGTCTTTCCACTGACTACGTGAGTTTCAGTACAAGTCAAATGGTGGACAATAGTGCAGAATATAATTTTGTCATAACAGCAGATACTGTATGTTTAAAGTACAGACCTCACCACATAAACTGGTTCTGGGTCTCACGCTGTTTTTTTGCCATTTTTAATTAGGTTTTAAATTTATTTTACATATATGACTGTTCTCTGTATTTTGTATGACTTAGCTGAGATATTTGAACTTTGTGTTACCCCAGGCCAATAATTGAGTAATTGGACACACATTTTGAATTTTATTGTCTGATGCATGATATGAAGGAAGCTGAACTTCTGACTTAAATATATATTTTTATAACAAACTAAAAGTACCTTAGCTGATCAAATGAAAGATCAAATCATATACATAACCCTAACCCTAGCAACAGATAAAACCTAAAAAGTCTATGTGTCAATGGTGTTAATTAATTTCTAAAATGAATACGATAGAAAATTTGAATGCATTTAATTGCATGCATAGTTCAACACACTGATAATCCAACCATTTCTCCATTCATCCACTTTTTGATACTTTAATACACAGGCGACAGACACGTTCTGTGTTGCACACACAAGAAAAAGTTTTCTTTAACCAAAATACGAACACACTGTCCAGCATTTAGAGGCTTCGTCTTCAAGTGAGACGTTGACTTGTCTCAGAGCAGCTTTACCAAGCTCAGGGTGACCTTTTTTTATATAAAAAGGTCTAATTTTATCTCGACTAACCAGTATTAATTCACAGCTGTGATTCTTCAGATCTGTTTAATTTTAATTTTTATTGTTTAACACTTATTTGCCAACTTTGGAAGGATCTAGAGTGGATTATCTAGGCAGATCTACAGAATGAAAAAGTCTTGTTTTGTTGTATGTGTGTGTGTAAATGTTTCATGTTTGTGTGTTTCTGTTGGTGCCGAAAATTACGTTATTCAGTCACCACTGTTGTCATCTAACTGCCGCAGATAGAATGACCTGAAAAGAACCACACATTTTTACTCGTGCGAGGGGGAGCAGAGAGACCAACAGCTTCGCAGAGTTGGCTCACCTAAGTCCCAAAGTGTATGAGGACTGCAGCTCCTTTTATTGAGAAAGTTTCACAAGTACTGGGCAGTTGTTTTTTTGGTTAAGTTTTACTCCCAAGTCAAAGTTCATCCGATTCCCATACTTGATGAGAAACAGACCTCATCCTTTATATTTACCTACATAGTAAAAAACCTTTTAGGGGTACCTACTCCTGTCAAGAAGATCATTATTAAACACACTTAGATAACAGTTTATGGTTCACCACACTTTGGTTGAACACACTTTGGTAACTAACTATAAATTCTATTTACATTTCCCTCCTGTTTATCAAAGTTAACACATCACAATGTCATTTCAAACAGATTTTCAACATTGGAATCATACATGAGTGTCAACAGTCTTCACGTCATCATAAGGACCACTGTGGTCTGGGTCTTGTCCTGTTAGTCTTTGATAGTCAGTTTCAAACATATATGCTCCAACTACTTTCTCAAGGACTCGTTCTGCCATGTTTCTTAGAAAAGGTATACAACAACACCCACAGAAAGCAAACAGTGCAATCACAATAATCAATGTGGTGAATGTAGAGATTATTATTGTTTTCCATTTTCCAAACGTTTTATTTAACCAATCGCCTATTGGATTTTCAATTCCAGACTGGGAATGCATAATTTCAGAGTAGGCTTTAAGTTTTGTCAGGGTTCTAGTCAAATCACCATTTGGAGAAGTATGAACAGGTATGACTGTACAACATTTTTCACCAAACATAGAACACACACCACCTCTTTCAGCCAGCAGCATATCCAAAGCCATTCGATTTTGGAATGCTGTTGCTGTTGTTGCATCTAATTGTTGAGAGAATAGAGTTATTGCAATGGTGAAATTGAATAGTCTTAACTGATTATAATGAACCTAATTAATTCGGTCCACATTCTTATTTGGAGTTATTGGGAATATTGCAGAAATGATTGGGAGATTTTTGAATCCAGTAGCCACTTGATCTGCTAGTTTATATTCATCTGGAACACCTCGGGGTACACCTATTGCATCAATATAAGTTGGGTTAGGAGTGGATAGATACTGGTCAACAACACTGCGTTTACGGCGTGTGTCGGATTTTGTATTTCCCAATGTGACTATGTGTACAGGGTAAATTAAAGTCACACATACACATGTACCCTTCCAGTTTTCAGGTAGGTAACCTCTCAAATTGTCAGACCCACAAAACCACCATACATCAGTTCTCTGTAATCTCTTTGTTGTGGTTAATTTCCAATTGATGGTGTTGGTGGTAGTACATAGAGTATTAATTATATTACCCACATCCTTGCAATTTTCGTCCCCAGAGGTGCTACAGTTTCGAACAAAACAGACATATTTACCAGTTCTTGGTGGAGTAAACACAGGGGGCTGTACAAACATTTTCAGTACTGGATATATTGCGTCATAACTGCCACATCCCTTATTTTGCAAAATTAATGAATTATCAATGCTAGACAACCATTCAGCACAAGATTCATTACCATAAATGGCAGGTGCTGTTCGTAATACAGGTCTAGAATCCAAACATACCAAACAGTCGTTGTTTTGTCCTTTGGCTGCCTGCTGTGCAGCTTGCAACCACAAATTTTCCTTCACCTGCGCACCTGTGGCTAAGAAAATAAATTCATCATCATCCAGCTTGGTTATGTCGGTTACAGTTATTTTCCCTACTGCAGCTCGTCCCACAGATGTATATGGAGTGGTGTCGTTCGGAATCAAAAGATCCCGGCAAATTTGCATATCGCCAAAATGATCATAACCACTACTGTATCCATAGATTCGTAGGAGAATGCATTCTGTCCTATTTTTTTGACCCGTCATATTCACAGTCATTACTATGCCATCTGTTACTCTTGTCATAATCAATCATTTTGACCATTTTATTGCTTCTGTCGTTTTTGGATTTGGTTTCCAATCATTGCTAGTATACGCTGCAGTATTTTCCCAACCATTATTTCTTTGTCCAATCATAGCATAATAATGCCATCGCTTACAGTCATAGCCTTTATCTTGTAGAGATCGACCATGGTATTTGATGTTGCTTAAAGACAACTTGAATGAAAAGGTCCTATTGACTGGTACACATACTGTACCTGTGTCATTGACACATGACTGGTACCGTTAGCACATTGTTGGCCTGGTATTACCGTCAATGCACCAGTATTTCTCTTTTCCCGTTTCACAAGTTCTTTGCTTGTTTACACCTACATCTAGGCCTCTCACCATATAGTCATTGTCAAACATGTCATGGTCTGTGACAGATCTTATTCTGTGCTCCATGCTGTTTTCAACCAGTTTAGCTGCACCAATTAGCATATCAGAAGTATATGTTGCACCCTTCCATGTTGGAGATGTCAACTTTATGGCCTGTTGTTGGTGCCGAAAATTACGTTATTCAGTCACCACTGTTGTCATCTAACTGCCGCAGATAGAATGACCTGAAAAGAACCACACCTGACAACGTTGTACTTTTTACTCGCTGCTAGGGGGAGCAGAGAGACCAACAGCTTCGCAGAGTTGGCTCACCTAAGTCTCAAAGTGTATGAGGACTACAGCTCCTTTTATTGAGAAAGTTTCACAAGTACTGGGCAGTTGTTTTTTTCTTTGAGTTTTACTCCCAGGGCAAAGGTCATCTGATCCCCATACTTGATGATAAACAGACCTCATCCTTTATTTACCTGCATAGTAAAAATCCTTTTAGGGGTATCTACTCCTGTCCAGCAGACCATTATTTACCACACTTAGATAGATAACAGTTTATGGTTCACCACACTTTGGTTTAACACACTTTGGTAACTAACTATAAATTCTATTTACATTTCCCTCCTGTTTGTCAAAGTTAACACATCACAAGTTCATCATCACAATATCATTTCAAACAGATTTTCAACATTGGAATCTTACATGAGTGTCAACAATCTTCACGTCATCATAAGGACCATTGTGGTCTGGGTCTTAGCCTGTTAGTCTTTGATAGTCAGTTTCAAACAAGTATGCTCCAACTGCTTTCTCAAGGACTCGTTCTGCCATGTTTCTTAGAAAAGGTATACAACAACAAGTGTTGATACTACAATTCGATACGTTGATCCTCAGGCCATCACTGAGTACGTCTGCCGCTCCCCTAAACTGATGGGATGTGCTTAACTCTTTACTGACGCAGCCGATGCCTTGAGACGAGTAAGTCTATCCTACTTACTCCTCTTTGTAGTCAGACTTCCCCATACCAGGACAGGAAGACAGATCGTCCAAGTCTCGTACTTTGCAGTGGCTCAGGTGGATCCAGACGTTCCTTTCTGCAACCTTCACTGCAGTTGGCGTTGTTAGTATCACTTGGTATGGACCCTCCCACCTGGGGCTCGACCAGCACTTTCTCTTTATGGCCTTCACAAACACCCAGTCACCAGGCTTCACTGGTCTCATCTCCTGTGGAAGAGAAATTGTCGGACAGCAATTTGTTCTTTGCACTTCTTTCTGTGTTAACATTTGCTGCATATAGTCTGCTAATGTCCAGACTGAATCTGGGCCATCTTTTTCCTTTAGGTCCAAGTCTGGAATGCGGAAGTTTCTTCCATACAACATTTCAAATGGCGTCAAATTAGTACCTTCTGCTGGTAATATGTGCATATTTAGTTGTACTAAATCTACACACTCTGTCCATGTCCTTTTTGTTTCACGCATTGCCTTTATTAGCTTATTTTTTACAGTTCCATTAGTTCTTTCCACTAGTCCGGCTGACTGTGGATGATATACTGTGTGTCTTTTGAGATCTATTTTCAAATTATCTCCTACTCTGTCTATGATCTGATTCACAAAATGTGTTCCGTTATCACTTCTGATGATCTCTGGAACACCAAAAGTTGGTATTATTCGTTTACATATGGCTTTTGCCACAGTAATAGCATCTGGTGTCTTACATGGAAACAATTCAACCCATTTTGTTAAAGTGTTTACCAAACAGTATTCATATCCTGTATCCTTGTTCAATTGTATGAAATCCATGTGAATAACCTGAAATGGATATTCAGGAACTGGAAATTTCCCCCTTCTTGTTCGCACCTGGCCTTGTACATTATTCTTAATGCAAATCAACACTGTCTACAAAACTTTTTAGAAAATAAATTGAATCCTTTTGTATTAAATTGCTTATCTACTAATGATACCATCCCTCCTGTTGACACATGGCACGGCCCATGTGTCATAACTGCAGCCCATTTGAATAATGATTTAGGTAACCATGCTTTTCCATTTGTCCCTATAAAAATGCCATTCTCTAATTTTGTTCCTTGGGCCATCCAATAACGCTTTTCAGTATTAGATGCCTATTCTTGTCGTGTATTCAATACTTCCTGTGTGTCGCATGTATCAGTATCTTGTGTTAATGTCTGTCCTTCGTCTGTGTTTTGCTAAGATTCTCTTTAGGAGTGACAAGAATGGACAGGATCAGGAATGAGGTCATTAGAGGGACAACACAGACAGGAAGGTTTGGAGGAAAAGCTAGAGAAGCCAGATTGAGATGGTTTGTGCAGAGGAGGGACAGTAGATACATTGGTAGAAGAATGTTAGAGATGGAGCTACCAGGTAGGAGAAAGAGAGGAAGACCAAAGAGGAGATATATGGATGCAGTGAGGGAGGACATGCAGATAGTTAGAGTCAGAGTAGGAGATGCAGAGAACAGGGAGAGATGGAAATCAATGATTTGCTGTGGCAACCCCTGAAAAAAAAGGGACAAAGCCGAAAGAAAAAGAAGAGGTTTTATTTGATTGGGGTAATCCCTTTGTGTCTCTTATTACCGTTCGCTCTGCCCCAGTGTCACATAAAAATAACATTGGTTTGCCATTTACCATAAGGGTCATTTCTGGGCGTCGTGATGCATCAACATTTTCTAATGTTTTTTTATTCCTGGCAGCAGACCCATTGCCAGAGCATTTTTAAGCTGCTGCTGGAAAGGTCCTGCTTGATCTCCGTCATTTCGCATACCACTGTGTTGTTTAAACACTGTCTCCAAACGTATGGAGTAATCATCTACCAATTCTCCCTCTTTTTGTTTGCATGCTGCAATTTTAGTAAAATCTGCTCGTGCTGTAAAAAGAGCACGCATTCTTTCAAATAAGGGCACTAAAGTTAGTGTCACTCGATTGAACGGGACAGTTTGTCTCTCTCCCTGAACCTGTTCAGTAGGGCTCCAGTCACCTCTAATTCTAGCCCACTGAGTTTGTAAAACATGCATTAACACTTGCTGGACTTCTGCTCCGTCTAGACGATAGGAAGCAATCAGCCCTTGCAATCCTGTAATACACTCTTCAACATCTTCTTTTGGCTGCACGATGTGTTCGCAAGCATTTTTAACATCGCTCATTTTCCATGTTCTATACATATACACGGTCTGCCCAGTTCCATCAGGTAAAGCTATCATTGGAAATGCTTCAATTTTTGACTCATCATCCTCCTCCTCTGATTCTGTATTAATATTTCTCAATTTTTTCCATTTTTCCAGATTGCTCCGCAAAACCATACTATGATCCCCTTCTTTTTGTTTCTTTTGTTTCTTTTTAGTAGGGTAAAATGGTTCCTGATTGTCAAACTGATTTGTATTTTCTTTGGGTAAATTTGGATACAACTGACTAGTTTGTGGAGGCTGTCTAAATATGGGGGTGGATTTATTACTGGGACCCCTCCTACAGCCTGTGGTATGTGACTCTGTTCCATATGTGACTGCACTTCTGCTGCAGGCTGAGTGCGTCGCATAGGAACATAATCATCATCTTTTTGCCAATTAAATGCTTCTTCAATTTCGTGTTTCTTTTTGTTAGCACCTTCTAGTCTTTTCTTTGCTTGTTCCAACCACTTTTTTGCCATCACTTGTTCATCACTTTCCTCCTTCCTTCCTTTTACTCTCACCTTTAGAGTTAATTTGAAGACTAAATCTTCACATGATTTTACTTGTAATCTTCCTTCAAACTTATACTTCTTTTTCCATTTAGTTAAATATTTTGCTGACCCCCGGATGATATCTATCCATGAATTTACCATCCCCTTCTAATTCTTCCTCTTTCTTCCCCCCACAGTTATAACTACGACAATTTCCCATTGTCTATATGAACTATACAGTTAGTGAGAGAACAAGTATAGGAAGAATGCCTCTATCGGGCTTCAGTGGGTTCAACTGTGACAAGCTTCTACGGCCAGTATAAAACTGGATGCGGTCACAGTCGATCTGCTTGTAGCCTCAAAGACGTGTTTTTATCCACAGAGGGTCGGAAGTTTTTGTTACTTGTGCTGTAATTTAAGTTATTTCGTAAATATTTAATTCTTTATGTACGTTATGTTTATCTGATTGAATGCACGTTAAAAAATAAATGTTACTCAGTACTTGAGTGTTTTTTTCACTATGTGCTTTTTTACTCTTTCTCAAATAATTATTTGGATGACTACTTTTTACTTCCACTTGAGTTAATTATTATTCTGAAGTAACAGTATGTTGGTGCCGAAAATTATTTGTCACCACTGTTGTCATCTAACTGCCGCAGATAGAATGACCTGAAAAGAACCACACATTTTTACTCGTGCGAGGGGGAGCAGAGAGACCAACAGCTTCGCAGAGTTGGCTCACCTAAGTCCCAAAGTGTATGAGGACTGCAGCTCCTTTTATTGAGAAAGTTTCACAAGTACTGGGCAGTTGTTTTTTTGGTTAAGTTTTACTCCCAAGTCAAAGTTCATCCGATTCCCATACTTGATGAGAAACAGACCTCATCCTTTATATTTACCTACAAAACCTTTTAGGGGTACCTACTCCTGTCAAGAAGATCATTATTTAACACACTTAGATAACAGTTTATGGTTCACCACACTTTGGTTGAACACACTTTGGTAACTAACTATAAATTCTATTTACACTTTCAGAGCAGCATTTCACTGAGGTGGTGCAGGGGGAGGAGTTTCTCAGTCTGAGTCTGCAGCAGGTGTGCAGCCTCATCTCCAGTGACAAACTCACCGTCTCCACAGAGGAAAAGGTCAACACACACACACAGATCAAAGTCAGACTGTTTCCATGTGGGTAGAATTTTCTTTTCCTTAATGACTTTCCTGGAACATACTAGAAACATTAGAAAAAACACAGTCATACAGGATCAACAGCATGTTTTGAATTAAATTTACAAATGAATTTTTGTTCTAAAGTAACAAAATAATAACTGAGGGGGAAACAATCAGAACAACTGTCTTCAACAAAGACCAGTGTCTCAGCTGGTCATTGGGATTATTATAACATGACTGTGCTTTTCAGTTTAATCTAAGAAAATAATATATTTAAAACACAAACCAGACGAACCCATTTGAATTCCAGGTAACCCCATCTCGGGTCTGGACTCCAATGTTGATAAAACATTGTCATAACCTAGTGTAACTGAACTGAGCTGGGCCAACGGAACAGCACAGATATCCCTACTGTTAGATTAGTATTTATTTATTTTTTCTACTTTTTCATGAAGTTGCAATGCTAAAAAAACATTCACATAAAAGGTTATATTTGTTAAGAGATTAAACCAGCTGCTGATGATAAAAAGTACCTTGATAATGAAGAACTTTCACACATGTGATAATAGTATGTGCAAAATGGACACTCTTCACTCAGACTTTTAACAAATGTTAAATCTTTATTTTAGTTGGGCATTCAAAAAAACTATTTTTATGTATTATGCTATAATCTATAGTTCAGGTTGTACTCCAGCCTAGTCTGTAGATAGCTGATGTTGGCTGCAGTGCCCCTTGCAGCCCCGAAAGGGAATAAGCAGTAGATATTGGCGGGATCGATCTTAGTGCTACTAGTGTCCACAGGATTATGAAGATTGTGTGCTTCAAGAGAATAGATGAAGAATTGTATCAAATGATGATATTGATAATGGGATTGTATTTGTGTTTATTAAAGTCTGATCTTTATTTCTATGTGTTCTGTATAATTACATACCATCTGATCTGACCTCTGTTGTTTTGCTGCTCTCAGGTATTTGAAGCTATGATTTCGTGGATAAAGCACGACAAACCAACACGTCTGGAGTACATGCCTAAACTGATGGAGCATGTCAGATTACCACTGTTGTCCAGGGATTATCTGGTGCAGGTAAAATGACCTCTCTTTGTCTAGTCCAGAAAATATGACCAACGCAGGTTTTCATCTGTCACTAGGCATTAAATGTTTATAATTGCGGAGAAACTTATAAAGTAATAGTGGACATTTCAACACGACAACAGTTGTCCTCTGCATCTGACCCATTTTTAAAACTGAAGCTGTGAGCAACACTTTGCATTGTTACTTGCTGCTTGCTCAACATACAACATCCCAAATTCAATGGAAATTCTCCGATCACAAGCCTGATTCTTTAACACGGCGGTTTCCAAACTTTTTGGCCGCACACCCCCTTTTTATATCCAAATCAGGTTGACTCACCCCCAATTCTGCACACCTTCAGGGGGGAAAAACGCAACAAGCTTTCTTATAAAGGCAGCATGTGTATTTATGCTCAAATGAACACACAAAACAAACATAACACACACACCTATATATAGCCTTCATTTATTTATTAATTAAAATGTTAGCTTTTCATTTTAAAAGAGTGAAGAAAAAGTGTTAATCTTTAATTGTGTGGAAAAATCCCACATAAAAAACAATTCAAACAGCCATCACATTTTTTTATATCTCGCGCACCCCCTAGTGGCCCACCCCACTTTGAGAATCCTTGCTCCAAATTTTAGGCTTGTATATTTTTTTGTATTAAGGCAAATATAGAGAACCAGAAGCTCATTCTAAATATTATTACGTTTTTTTCTGCCCACCCTGGGCAGTTAAGATTTGATGAACAAATCAATCCCTGGAAGTTGGGGGTGCCTTACTGGTATCAAGCCGTCTGCCCTAGATGATAGATAGAAAGTGAGGTACAATCTGTACCTTAATGTTATTGAGAATGAGCAGCTGTTCTCTGCATATGCTTTAATAACATAAAAAACAAAATGTTTACACAAAAAGGGCGTCTGGTTCATAAATGCAACTGCCTAAAACACGGTCATTGCTTTTGATAAATAAATCCAGCCTGGAGCTGAAAAGGTTTATTTGAAAGCAACTCATACCTTCACAGACAGTCCTGCCCAGACCCACACCTCCTGGTAAAACAGCAAACTTCTAATCTTTGTCCCTAGAAAGGCCGTGCTCAGTGGAGAGTGACACAGCACTTGTGTTTGTGTAAACAGCAGACAGTCACCCTAGTGCCAAGCTGAATGATTTAACAGATGCAGTGTTTGGTAAATAAAGTTAAGTCATGGCTGGGTGGTGAACCTGGTTTCAGATCGTGGAAGAAGAGGCTCTGATAAAAAACAACAACACCTGCAAAGATTTTCTCATTGAGGCAATGAAGTATCACCTGCTGCCAGCGGACCAGAGGCACCTCATCAAGACGGACCGCACTAGACCTAGGACTCCGGTCAGCATCCCCAAGGTGCAGACATCAACTAGTACTGTTAAATGCACCAGTTCACTTTAAATACAACTGTCTGCTAATGTATTCCTGTGTTTCCACATTCTTGTCTATGGCATGCAGGTGATGATCGTAGTGGGCGGTCAGGCCCCGAAGGCCATTCGTAGTGTGGAGTGTTACGACTTCCAGGAAGATCGCTGGTACCAGGTGGCAGACCTTCCCTCAAGACGCTGCCGGGCAGGTCAGCGTGAGAAAAATAGAATAAAATGACATTGGTAGAACATCTCCTATGTTACATTAAAAACAACATATTAGAGATATTATTGCACATAAATTAGAACAAACACATTGTGGCCTTTTCAAAATCAAAATTGCTTAAATCAGGGAAGGCCTTGTCCATTGTCCTCAACAATTGTTATCCATGTACAGTTCCTCCAAATCCATTTGGCATTTGTGTCAGTCAGTTTGACTGCCCTGGTCTGTCTCCCAGGTGTTGTGTCCATGGCCAGTCGCGTGTACGCAGTCGGAGGCTTCAACAGTTCACTGCGGGAGCGGACGGTGGATGTATACGACGGTGCTAGTGACCAGTGGAGTGCCGTGGCCAGCATGCAGGAGAGACGCAGCACATTGGGAGCTGCTGTGTTAGGGGATTTACTGTACGCTGTGGGGGGCTTTAATGGAAGCATAGGTACAGACTATAACACACACACTGGTATGTTTCAAGGGTGTAGTAGAGGAATACACTCCAAATGAAACTGAAATGGGCAGTATAAGTGGGTTAAAAGACGTTGGGTTTATAGTGATGTGACATGGGAACTAGTTCACTAACTTGTCTCTTCTTTGTCCCTGTCGCCGTCTTGTTTAGGTTTGTCCACAGTTGAAGCCTACAACTATAAAACCAATGAGTGGCTGTATGTGGCCTCCATGAACACCCGACGTAGCAGTGTGGGTGTGGGTGTAGTTGATGGTAAGACTGCACTGGTAGTGACTTGCTTTTTCTCATGAGCTTCTATAGTGAGAGTTTCACATCTGTCTGTGTGTGTGTGTGTAGGTAAGTTGTATGCAGTTGGAGGCTACGATGGATCCTCTCGTCAGTGTCTGAGTACAGTGGAAGAATATGACCCTGTCACTGACCAGTGGTGCTATGTAGCTGACATGAGCACAAGACGCAGTGGAGCAGGTGCGCGCACACACACAAAACACTGCTATTTTTTAAACATTTTTGCAGTATCCTATAATAGTAATGGCCTTATGAGTGGGTAACACTGCCACCCAGTGGACAGAGATTGGAACGTTGGTTGGAAGGTTCAGAAAAAAGTAATAAAAAATAAGTTTCTCAAAAATAAATAAAAATGCACACATTTTCCGTAAAATATGTAGCTATGTTTTTTTATGTGGTTAGATTTAAGAAAACAATGCTTTTTTGGCATGTCCACCAGTGATCACAGTGACATACTATAGTGATAAGTTCCCAAAACAGCATTAAAAAACAAAAGTTTCTCAAAAATAAGTCAAAATGCACTAATTTGCTTTAAAATACATAGCTATGTCCTTTTTTATAGTCAAACTATGTAAGAAATATACTTTTTTTGGCATGTCAACCATTGAGCAGAGTAACATACCATTTTGTCCGTCTGTCACACACACTGTTTCTTTGATATTGATATGCAGGTGTAGGTGTGTTGGGTGGTCAGCTGTATGCAGCAGGAGGTCACGATGGTCCTCTGGTCAGGAAGAGTGTCGAAGTTTATGATCCACAGACCCACTCCTGGAGGCTGGTCTGTGACATGAACATGTGCAGGAGGAATGCAGGTGAGAAAATATTTTGCACCAGCGTCACACACTCTAGTATGAGAGTACACATTCTTTACTTTACAGTAAAACATTTGATCCATGCCCGTCCCTCCTGCAGGTGTCTGCTCTACAGTAAAACATTTGATCCATGCCCGTGCAGGTGACTGCTGCATTAATGGACTGCTGTATGTTATTGGAGGAGACGACGGCTCCTGTAACCTGTCGTCTGTAGAGTTTTATAATCCCGCCACGGACAAGTGGAGTCTGATTCCTACAAACATGAGCAACGGAAGAAGCTACGCAGGTATATTTACTGTACATTGGTGGATGGAGGTGAAACCTTGAAAGTGTGCTTGAATTTTAATGTCAATTTTTGAGTTTTAAATTCCTTATTTTGATATTTTTCTATACCTGGCAAGTCACTACCTTGGATGACTACTTGTTAACTAATTTTGATAGTTGTGTTTGCACCAAGAACTCCATCAGAGCGGTTTCATGCTGGGTTTGAAAAAGTTAAATAACACAAGACATTCAAGCCCCTCATATTTTCATAATATCATTTTAAGTGAACGTGTAACCACTTCATGAACGTTCTTGTTTATACTTTAGTTTATACTTTTGTATGAGCAAGAATGATGAACCTCATCTGTGGTAAATAAAATGTTCTTATCAGTGTAGCTTCTGCTGAAGCCAATTATTTTCCTCTGTCCGTGTCTCTATTTTCTCCCACAGGTGTTGCAGTGATTGACAAACCGTTATGACAACAGGCGTCCGGTCACTTTCACAAAGTGACTCACGATGTTGCCTGAGAAGAAACTCTTGTGACAAACTCACAGGTGGACCTGGACGAAGATCAGGACAGTCAACCCGTGGACTGGAATCTTCTGTCAGGATAAAAACTCTTCTGTTGCACTGGATTCTAGAAGCAATAGCCACAAGGAAGAAGAGTGAGATTGGACTGAGTTTTCTTTTTCACATGCCAAGCACAAAAACAGCTGTATCAGCTGGAGTAAAGACCCAAAACAGGTGAGGACTTTATTTTACTGTAGGGTGAAGGACCTAACATGGTTTCTGTTGCCACAGCGACCATACTTAAGAAAGACAAACGCACACTGGGCTCACACAGGGTTGAATGAGTTTTATTTAAATCTTAGCACAACATGAAGCCACATCCTAGAAACAGGAGACTTGTTACTGTCCGTGCAGTTCAAGGACAGGGATCATGGCCACAGTTGTCTCAGAGCATGAGTCTGAGAAAATGAAGTGAGGTGATTCTTTGTCTGTGCCGACTGTCAGCAGCTGCATGACCATTTAGAGCTTGTTACATTTCAGTTCAAACTCATATTTAATGTTTTTCAGATTGTCTTCAGAGGGATTCAGAACCTCAGACCAACAGAGCAGGTTTTTACAGGTCAGAAATAATCAGAATTAGCAAAAGTATCATTGGGTTGATAAACAAATAATTCATACAAATAATATCCATACTGTAAATGATATGGTCCATTAAAAAAAATATTTTCTTTTTTTGTGCTTCAAAAACTTTAAAACTTTTGACCCTTGACCCTGTTTGAAAGCACTCTTATTGTACACTCCAATTCGTGGTGCGCTGCCTACATTGTGCTCGGGAGAGACGGACCCCATAACTGACCAGAGGTGTGAATGTTGTTAGCCAAACCAAGTGCAGGGCATTGGATGCACAGTGCACCGATAATGTGCAGCTGCGTGTGAACCACCTTACCTGACCCACGGGGCAGTGGGCTTCATTTTGTGACTGCCACGAATTAAGACACCGCCCTAATGAGGACACTACTGATGCACTCAACACTTGCACTGACCAATAGTGACCGGCTGGCCGGGCTGGAAGTCTGCTGGTCTCTCTGACTGAACTGGATCGATGCTGTGCCGACGTCACATTTACTCAGATTTTAACACTTTGAAAAAAGCCTAGTGCCAGGATCACATTTGTGTGTTTTTTATATGACATGCATACAAAGTGACGTGATCTAATATTTCTGCTCATGTCAAGTGTCAAAATGCACTGTATAAAATTCAGCTGTATATTGTATAAGATGCAGGTTAAAGACTTTTTTATTTATTGTTTTGGTCCAGTTTATTCTATAAAATGTATTCCTTGTCTCCTGCCTCCTGGTGCATTCACTCAAGACTACGAGCGATCAGAGGTCTCACTGCCTCCTGGTGCATTCACTCAAGACTACGAGCCAAGGTCCAAGTGGAGTGACCCCCTGTCCCGCTTTACAGTGTATTGCACAGCAATGTTAGCCTTTGTCCCGGGTCACACATTGAAC